GAAGGGAAGGGAAGGGAAGGGAAGGGAAGGGAAGGGAAGGGAAGGGAAGGGAAGGGAAGGGAAGAAGTCGCCCTGGCCAGATGAATAAGTGAATATTGTTAACAATTAAAATGACGTTTAAATAAAAAGGTCTTCACCTGGCGCTGAAAAACAAATAACGACGGCACCAGGCGGACCTCTCTGGGGAGCACATTCCATAGATTGGGTGCCACCACAGAAAAAGCCCTCCTCTGAGTACCTACCCTCCTAATTTCTTTCATGGAGGGTTCCCGGATAAGGGCCTCTCCCGCAGATCTCAAGGGGCGGTCGGGCATATATGGACGTAAGCGCTCCTTCAGGTAGCCAGGACCCAAGCCGTTAAGGGCTTTATAGGTCATCACCAACACCTTGAATTGGGCCCGGACTTCAATGGGAAGCCAGTGAAGCTGTCGGAGGACTGGAGTCATGTGAACATAATGCCCCGTCCCCATCAGCAACCTGGCAGCTCTATTTTGAACCAACTGAAGTATCCGGACCGTCTTCAAGGGAAGCCCCACGTAAAGCGTGTTACAGAAGTCAAGGCGGGAAGTCACCAGCGCATGTGTCACTGTTGCCAGGCAGTCGTACTCCAGGTAGGGGCGCAGCTGATTAATCAGCCGAAACTGAAGGAAAGCGCTCCTCGCCACCGCTGTCACCTGAGCTTCCAATGAAAGCTCCGGGTTGAGGAGTACTCCTAAGCTGCGGACCTTGTCCCTAAGAGGGAGTGCAACCCCATTCAGGGCCAGGTCAAATACACCCTCTCCGAAGCCCGATCCGCCAATCAACAGGACCTCCGTCTTGTCTGGATTGAGCTTCAGTTTATTGGCTTTCATCCAACCCATAACCTTGGCCAAGCACCAGTTCAGCACAGCCACTGCCTCACCTGGATTAGTAGAAAATGAGAGGTAGAGCTGGGTATCATCAGCGTATTGATGATTCCGCAGCCCACACCTCCTGATGACCTCTCCCAGCGGTTTCATATAGATGTTAAACAGCAAAGGGGACAAAATGGAGCCCTGTGGTACTCCATGGCATAGCTGCCATGGCGCCGAGCCATAGTCCCCCAGCACTACCTTCTGGAATCGGCCGTTGAGATAGGAGCGGAACCACTGCAAAGCAGTGCCTCCGAGTCCCAATCCCGCTAGCCTATCCAGAAGGATACTATGGTCGATGGTATCGAAAGCCGCTGAGAGGTCCAGAAGAACCAACAGGGATGCACTCCCCCTGTCCTTCTCCCTGCACAGGTCATCGTACAGGCGACCAAGGCAGATTCAGTACTGTACCCGGGTCTGAAGCCGGACTGAAATGGGTCCAGATAATCAGTTTCATCCAAGAGTGCTTGGAGTTGTCCCACCACCACCTGCTCTAAGACCTCACCCAGAAACGGGATGTTGGCCACTGGTCTATAGTTAGTGGCTATCTCTGGATCCAGTGACGCTTTCTTCAGGACCGGACGGACTACCGCCTCCTTTAAAGGGGCAGGCACCCGACCCTCCCTCAGAGAAGCGTTAACCACTTCCAAGATCCAGGTCCCAATCCCGTGCTTGGAATTATTTAATAACCAAGACGGGCAAGGGTCCAATAGGCAAGTGGTGGGACGTACTCGTCCAAGCACCTTGTCCACATCATCAGGCCGCAATAACTGAAATTCATCCAATAATTCTGGACCAAACGGCCGCATTGGCATCTCCCCAGAAACCTCTGATTCATTAGTGGAGTCCAGCTCGTGACGAATCTGAGCGATTTTCTCCCTGAAATGCCTGGCAAAATCGTCACAGCGGGCCTTTGAGGGTGGAACCGGATCTTCCTTGGGACCTGGGCGAACCAGGCCTTGCACCACTCGAAAAAGCTCCGCCGGACGGCATTGTGAGGAGGCAATGGAATCGGAAAAAAACTTCTTTTTCGCCGCCTTCACCGCCACAGCATAGGCCTGATAGTGGGCTTTCAAGTGTGTTCGCTCAGATTCATCCCGTGATTTCCTCCACCTATGCTCTAGCTGTCTCCCAATCTGCTTCATTGCTCACAATTCAGGTGTATACCAAGGGGAAGAGCGGGCTCTGCCCGGTGGGAGAGGACGCTTAGGAGCGATCGTGTCTACAGCCCTGGTCATCTCCCCATTCCACAGTTCGACCAGAGCCTCGACAGGAGCACCCGTCTGGTCAGCCGGAAGCTCCCCCAGGGCCTTCAGGAATCCTTCCGGATCCATCCGGCTCCGGGGACGGACCCACACAATCGGATCCGCACCCTTACAGAGGGAGAGGTTGCTCTCGAGCACAAACCTCACCAGGAAGTGATCTGACCATGACTGGGGAGTCAAACATAAATTTCTCACCCTCAGGTCACCCTCTTCCTGCCCCGTCGAGAAAACCAGGTCCAGCGTGTGACCATGTTCATGGGTCGGGCCAGAGACATGTTGAGACAGCCCCATGGCCGACATGGAGGCGATGAAGTCCTGAGCCGCCCCGGTTAGACCAGACTCAGCATGGAGATTGAAGTCCCCCAGGACCAACATCCTGGGGGTCCTCAACACCAGGTCCGAGACCGTCTCCATCAGCTCAGGTAGGGAGACTGTTGGGCAGAAGGGTGCATGGTACACCAACAGAATCCAATACAGCCTCTGCCACTGTATTGTGCCCAAGCTGTAAGGCTCCTTCTTTGGACTACGTGGTCCTGAGGATGACAGTCTGGTATTCAAACAGCCTTTGACTCTGGTTAACAATAAAAAATAAAACTTTATTTGTACAAGAAGCATAATGGTTTTAAGATGTTCTGTAACTTATTTCCTGAGTGAACAAAACAGTAGATTAATAAACTCCTGACTGAGGTGTGGCATTCTTCTCCTTCACAAACACTCCTCACTTTCAAATCTTCCTTTCTTTTCTGAATGTGCCATCTTTATTTCCCTCAGTTCAATCCTCCCCTTCTGCACTCAGGTTTCTGTTGGCCTATCTCTCACAGCCTTATTATACTGGTCAATATAAGAGTTTGACTGTATCTTGGCTCAGGACAAATGACAACATCCCCAAATTTCTGTGCAATTGTCTTAACGCAGCATTTCCCAACCTGTTCCAGGAAACCTGTGGTTCCTCTAGTAGAACACCTCCTAGAATACTCTGTGCTTTGTGGGGGTTCCATGTTGGATCAACAGTGGACAAGTCAATGGTTGGGTTCACACGGCATCGGAAACAATGCTGCACTGTTTCCACCGTGCAGCGATTTCTGCCTGAACTTCCTGGTCAGAACATCAGTTACGCTAGCTGGGCAGCAGGGCTTCCAGGTTCCCTGCTCCATCCTACCCAGGCATCCCAGCCACCCCTGTGGGTGAAACCCCCATCCGGTCAGTCTCCTTGCCCATAGACTGCAGCAGCTTCCTCTGAATTGGGTCACTGTGTTCCTTCCTTCCCCGCTCCAGAATATGCTGCATGTCTGCAGCGCTTCCCAGTTGCTCCAGCCCCAACAGAGATTAAAGTAAATAGAGAAAGAATTAAAAAAATACAGTTTTGCTGATATTCCCCTCTTCTTCCTACATGTATTTGATTGCTGGGCTGCCTCATTTCCTAAAAGAAAGGTGGGGGGATATTGCTTGGCCAATGGGAATAAAGTGAGTGATGCCACCAGTGTTGCTAAGGTCCTGAAGGTAGTAGAGATCAAAGGCTGGAATGGCCACCTCCAGAGCCACTCTTGCCAGGTGCCTCTATGATGTTTCCATACCAACGATGGTAAAAGGGTGATCATTGGTCTGGACTACCAGAGTAGCCAGGGTAAAGAGGGGAAATTACGAACAAACCATTGATTCTCTCTGTGGTTGCAGGAAACAAACCCAGCCAAAGTGTTACATGAAGCCAGCAGAGACATGGCACCCTGACTTCTCTCAGTAGTCTCAGAATCCTGCACAAGACGACTTAGGACGCCGGGAGCTCCAGCCATTTTAAGCCCATGTGCAGCTTTAGCATTCTGAAAAAGGGCCCTGAGCACCACCACAGATTGACAGAGGTGTCAGTTGGGGCACTTGCACCCGTCCGGAGTTACCACTAACCTGGGCAAGTGTCCACTCTAGCTTCTCTCTCTCCTGCCTCTTTCTCAGCCATTTCTCTTTTGTTGTCTCTCTCCGGGATTCCTCTTTCTTCTTCTTCCACCAAGGCACTGTGCCCCCTCCCCATTTCTCAGCAGGGCAGATTCCCCCTCCCCTTGTAGAAGTGAATGCGGAATTGCCCCATGCACAAGGGGGAAGTATCCTGGCAGGCTCAAACCTCAGCCTTGCTGTGGCAGCCGGATTGGAAGCCGTGGCCTAATATGCAAAACACACTTTTAGTAAAGGTCAACAAGGCATCTTTATAGATCCTGCACTCATTTAAACCTGGCAATCTAAGCTTCTAGCTTCTTGATTCCTACACTGTATGTTTGAGAAGGAATTTCATTCATAGATTCTAAGCCACATGACCAGGTACTGTAATTTCATTCATTTTTGAAACAGAGAGGTAAGATTAATAAATGTGTGTGTAGAACAGTAGTAGATTTAGCAAGGGAAAGCTTTTAAACATGAAATCATATCCAAGTTTTGTTACTCCTTCCTTCCTGCAGATTTTCTTCCCTCGACAGACAATTTAAAAAGGCAAGCCACTCATTTATGTGCAGTATCAGCAACTTTATTTACAAATACAAAGTAAGTCAACAGAAGGAAAAAAAATCTTCAGTCATATTAACTCGTTTAATGTGCAAGTTACATTTTCCAAACATGGAACAAAAATGAATCCCTCACAAATAATCTTCCCAGTTGGATTTAACTATTAAAGCGCAGTGAAACACTAAATCCCAAGGAAACAGGCTGAAGTTTACATTTTAGTATTTAGAAGAATAATATTAAGCACTGAAACTTAAAAACAGACAACCACCCTTGTGTGCCTTTAAATGCTATTTCTGTAATATTCTCAGAATATCCATAGCATATAAATCAGTAATAGAGATTGCAGTTACAAATCCACGTCATTTCAAAAATGCTCATTTAAGAGCATTAAAAAATAAAATAGCTTTTTCCTTTGAAATTGGAATTTAAAGCTATTTTCCTTATCAGCCTCCAGCATTCTGAAATTACCACCAATTACACTGCTTTTCTGCCTTATTTATGTAAGGATGAGATTGTACATTGAACTGAAGTTTTGTGTTTTTAATCCAGAAGAGTTTCTTATTGTGATTACCTTCTCATAAATAGCTCAAAATAAGTTTAGCATAGAATACCAGGAATTTCCTACATGATTTAAACAGGCAAATGTTTCTTTAAAAAACCACACACAATATATTTATAGATCTACAGCAGTGGTTTCCTCTTCTATCTGCAGCAGTGGTGTCGTATTTAGGCTTGTATCACATAATGGTTGGCTGTCCGGCTGCTGAAATGAGGAGAGAGAAAGATTAATAATTAGCAGTCGTTTTGGGTAAACCCTACAAATGCTTGTTGCATTCTGTTTGTGCTAATTGCCCCTGTGTTGGTTGGAAATATGAGTATCTTATTTTCTAGCCCTCGGGGAAGGTGCATCAACCTGACATTACAGTTTCTGTGATTTTCCAAGGACAGCAGAGGGGGCTCTTGTAACAGCAGTTGATTTCTAAGCACCCAACTGCCAAGCAAAGTATACAGACAAAGGCCTGGAACATGAGAGGGATGGTTGAAACCATAGCCGGTTAGTGGTTGCCTAGAACTGTTCTCGGCAATGGCCAGACCAGTGAGCTTTTCCTCCAATACACTACAGAGAAGTGTTCCCCATCTCAGCTCCAGAGCTGGGAACTTGCACATTATCTGTATTCACACTATTGGTGTCCCATCTACTTTCACTCTTAGAAGACTGGCACTGAAATACTGGAGACATTTTTTTTACACCTAGAAAAGGAAGTCAAAGGGGGAAGAGTATGGTGAGAAAGCAGGCTGAAGTCCAAGGATTTGCCAGTGTGATTTTGCCTAAGACCACGTTGCCATGTGATTCAACAGGATACTCCACAGCATTACAAGTACCTCTTGTGTGCTAACAATGACCATATCCTCCCAGTCAGGTTTCAGATGAGCATTATATATATAATATATAATATATAATATATAACAAGGCATGCAATCCATGTCCTGTATAATAAAACACATGATCTGTGATGCCTTCCTAAGGACAGAGATGTGTTCTTTTCACTGAGTTGCCAGCCAGAAGCCACGTCAAAGAACAAGGCGTCCTTTTGCTTAAGAACGGTTGAGAAGTCACAGATGACAGTATCTTCAGTCTGCAAAGCCACATTCTCTGAATGAAACCTAGCCTATGTAGCTCGAGAATGCCAACTATTTCAAGGTTTGTTTTAGAATTCCAGTGATTTCTAAAATTAACAACAGCAAGTGTAATATATTCCAAAAAGGTGCTGGTTCAGAGTGAACCTTGTAGTGTTGGGGCAATTCAGACAGCACAGAAAAGAAACACGACTTCTGGTATGTTTCATCATTGCCCAAAAGCAGCTGAACAAGCCGTTAAATTTAAACACCCAAATTAAAGAGTAAATCACGATGGTACATTTCATGTATCACTGAGTGGCAAAGGGTATATAATTTTCACTACTGTACAGAATAAATGAAGAATTAAGCTACAAAGAACTCTGTGGATAGTCTCACATTATTGCTAAGTGCTTATCAGGCATAGGATAGAAAATATATAAGCAAGCTCCCACTATTTCAGGGGGAGGGAACTTATCGCCCTCCAGTTGTTGTTGGATGGCAAGCCCCATCAGCCACAGGCAGCACAACTAGGAGAAGGGTGATAACAGTTGGAGTAATGCCCAGTTTTCAGTGTCTGTAAAAACAAGCATGTTCATTCTAGCAATGAGCAATGAATGCTAGCAATGAGGATGGTTCTGCCGATTTGTACAGATGATTCCTAAAGCAGTGGTCCATGTAAGCTCACGTAAGCTCTTGCTTCCCAAGATCGGCAGCAGTTCTCCATCATGCGAGGAAGAGCTCTCTCCCAACCGCGTCACCGCCCTCTGAGATGCATGAGCAATACATGGACGCATGCAAAGCGTGCCTCGTTGCTCAACGCCACAGTTACTGCTGAACGAGATGCACTGTGGCGCAGAGCGGGTGCGAAGTGGCACTCCCGAAATTCTGCCAGTAGCACTTTCTGTGTGGAATGCAGATCTGGATCCAAACCAAAGTTCGCTACTGGGCACATTCTCTTTTTCCTGTGAGCTGTGTTGCTCGTATCCTACTTTTGAGAATTGCTCCACGCTGCATTTTCAGAACATTGGAAGCAATCCCATCAACCCAAAGAAGAAACTCTTCTTTCCAGCAAGTCTCAGCGCTTGATAACTGAACGGTCACAGCTCAGTCCAAATATTGTCCCCCTTCATTCATGTAACCTTGATAATTTTAAGAGCATCAAGACGCTAACATGGAGGAAGAGGACCCACCCTCGATACTTACTTTTAAGTCGGAGATAGCAGTCATTGCAAAAGAGTTCGTTGTTTCGGATGCGAACCTCTGTTCCTGCTTGTGAGCCCCCAAGCTCGCGCTCACAAGCAACGCACTGCGGAAAAAAACTTCAGCAGTTAGTAAGTCTACCCAGCGAGGATCAGAAGGTGACATCTGAAATAATTGCCCCAATTCAGCAGAAATCATAGAAAGTTAATTGCACAATCAAGAAAAGAGGAACAATCCGGGATTGGATAATCAAATCTCGCGTTCTGAAACAGAATTTATGGCACAAATGTCAGAAGTAGTGATTTTGGCACCAAGCAGTTTCGAAGGGTCATATGCTATGCAAGTTTCTTACGTCAGTATCTTTCAACTCTATTATTCTTCCCTGAACTTGCTTTAGGTCTGAAATGTGATCAGACTTCATACTTATATCAGTGTTACAGTGTTAGATAGTAATTGCTGGAGGGAGTTTGCAATTCAAGTGCTCAAGGAACCCATTTTTCAAACAGGCAGTGATGCTTTCCTGCCCTGCATTTTTGTTAAGAATCATAAAGCAAGACTTGGTGTCTCCACTGGGAGCAAGTTCTAAGTCGGACTGATTTCTGAACAGGCATGCACAGGATTGCCCTGTTAAGGAATTTCTTAATGTCTTCTTTCCTAAAACCTGCTTTCAGTGGTCATGAGAGAACACCAGATTAGAATGCAGCCTATGTTACTATTATGAAATTGTGGAATTGCTCTTTGTTTTCAAAAATAGATTTTTAATAACTGTATCGTATCCCAGAGCTTCTAACAAGCCTTCTGGTTGCTTAGAATACAGATAATCAATATAATTTTCAATTATAGGAGTAGCATAATAATGACATCATGGCAGTCATCCAGTTTTCAAATCAAGTCTGAATAAAATTCACACCATTCCAGTGCTTCACGGAAATATAGTATATTCTCCATCATTTACTGCAGGCTATAAATAAGTAGGCCTATTGCACTTTGCCAGAGAGAGTTTCTGAGGGTTGCAGCTGCAAAGGCCCTGTTTATATACCAGCCTTGTACTGATGTTCAGCCTGATCTGTTCCTATGTGGGGAGGGGCAAGAGAGAAGTGGGTGGGGGACAATATTATTTCTCCCTTACATTAGCTACCTGTATTGTAAGATTAAGAAGGCAGGTGGTCAAGTGAAAAATGTGGATTCGGATCTGAGCAAAACTGCATATATTCTATCCAGACATCACTCCCAACCTTCGGGGCCTTTTCCATGGTGCTCCCCCAATTTGCTTTTTTAAAAAAATAACATTTTAATAACTAATTGCCATAGACCTTTGTTTGTATGTTTTATTTATTTAGAAAATTTCTATGCCGCCTCATTCGCCGAAGCCTCGGGGCGGCTCACAAAGATATCAATTAAAATATAATACAATAAAATATAAAACAAGCTAACAATATAAAATAAAATAAGTCGCCCTGGCCGAAGAATAAAATAAATAAATAGTATTAACAGTTAAAATGACATTTGAATAAAAAGGTCTTCGCCTGGTGCCGAAAAACAAATAACGACGGCGCCAGGCGGACCTCTCTGGGGAGCGCATTCCATAGATTTTTCCATATAGTTTTACTGTATCTTATTGTTGCTTTTAATGTGTAATGTGTTACAGTTTTTGTTATGTTTTATTGTGTGTTTAGCTCATGTTGTGAGCTGCCCAGAGGTGCTGTGGCACAACTGGGTGGCATACACGTTTTAAATAAAATAAACTAATTAATACATAAATTTCTGGAACAGCCTCCTTGCTGTGGCCCACCTGGCTCCAAATCTGTCATCCTCTCTGTGCCAGGTTAAGACAGCCCTTTTTATGGAGGCCTGTAAAGAGCTCCCCAGTCTTCCATGGTCCTGATGGGTATAATCAAGTGGATTTTTCCTTTCTTCTTGATCAGGTCTATTTACTGTATTTTACTGTATTTTAAATTTATTTTAATGTCATTTTAACTGATTTTTTAAAAAAGTTTGAAATGCAGTTTTGTGTATTGTATTTCGTTGTTTTTATATCCTGTTGTGAACTGCCCAGAGAGCTTTGTCTATGGGCAGTAAATAAATATAATGAATGAAAGAATGAACGAATGGTGCTGGTGGTGCTGGTGGTGTCATCCAATCAAGCACTGATCGTGTCAAACGCTCACTATGAGACGAAGCAGAACCGTCGCGTCCATTTAAGCATGCAGCACCACGGTTCCTTAGCAAAGCCCGTAACGAAATGCGGAGTTGCCACGCCAGCAGCAAAGCGTTGTGCCTGCACAGCCACGGCGTTTTGCCCACCTCTCACCTTAAAACAATGTAAATGATAGCAAAGACCAAGAGATTCGATGATCATGGCTGCTCCTTTGCCCAGAACGTTTTTACAGTATGAACAGATGCGCTTTCCACTGACCGACCTAGATACAGAACGAGAACGTGGCTAAGACGTGGATTTTTAGGACACAAGAAAATGGCGATTAAAATGCACTGTGATCGGACAAGGATGGCAGAATTAATGCTAGAAGTCTAGAAGTTACTCTTCTACATGGAAAGTTACCAATGAGAGAAAAAGTTACAATTTCTTGGGCCGAATTAAATGCTTACAGCGAGCTCGTGTGCAATGTAATGCTAACACGATGGTCCAATCATTGTTAAATTCAGAAAATAGCAACATATGTTTAGGCTGTGATCCCATTCCTTATCTGTGGGAAATGCTGATGAATGCAGTGTTGTCCAAACTCCAACATCTGTATGCTTTTAGGCAGCATAACACTAGGCTGGGATACACAGCTGGAATCCCTTTCAAGTTGTGCCATATGAAACTTCTGCGAACCCTTCAGTCCAGTCTAGACACCACCTGGCTGGAAAGAGGGAGCTTCTGCTGGGCCCACATGCTTTCTTCCTGCCGATCCCCCGACTCTTAGTTCACCACGGTTTACCATGTTGTCTGCCCAGTTGTAACCATAGTTTGCTCTCTAAACAGGAGAGACTTAAACTAGGATTCAGAAGGAGCAGGAGAGAGATCAGTGATCATTATTAGTATCGAACCAGCTTGATCTTAAATACATATTTCCACATGAGGTGTTTAAAGCACTATCTACTTTTAGCTTTGCTGCAGGAATGAGATAAAAGCTTAGCACTAAGAGCTGTTTCTTTCCTGCTTTTTCACTATAGAAATAGCAGAATATCACAGTTGAAAGGAGGAGGAAAATATGCTTTCTTGCTCTTTCAGAAATAATACTTCAGAAATATGCTCTTCAAAAAATGCTCTAAAAACCAGAAGAAAAACTGGAAGTTTATGAACCTATAAACAACTATAAATGAGGAATCACAAGCGCAAAGTAGCTAATAATGTAGAAAAGCTCTTCCATACAACAGTTGGGTAACATGTTTCACAACCTTGGGCATCCTTGTCTACAGTTAAACATGCACTGTAAAACTGCTTTCTGCCCTACAGTTAATAGAAAAATAATGGATAAAGAAGCATGGCAAGATCCCTGCTATAATTGCATTTATTTTTATTGCAGATTTGGGATTATACATATACATCTTCCTGGATACAAGTAGCGACTCAGCCCTATTAATATCAATTAATGCTAGTATTAACTAAAAGACAAAAGGCTCGACGTGGGTCTGAAAACCATTTGATGCTTTTCATTGGCAGGTCTGTGTCAAATAAAAGAAAGTTGCATAGGTAAATCTATTGCTGATAAAATCCTGGAAAGAATTTGCAGAGGGTGTGCATTGTTCAGGCTCTGAGCCACTCTGGGTTGCAGCCAACCTTGCGTGAGAGGACAAGTCTGCTCAATGGAACTTCCTGCTCCTCACAGCCCCTCACAGACACCTCCCAGTCTGCTACGGGGAAGCACCCCAGTCCCCTGGTGAAGATGACTGGGGCTGCAGGCGAGAGAAGCTTTTCATTGGAGAGGCTCCGCTTGCATATGGCTTGATTTCACCCTTGTTTTAAAAATATGCGCCTTGAGATAGACCTTCGATCGCTTTCTTATGAGAATGAAGTGCAAGGAGGCACAGTGAAGGCATATTATTTTCTGCCTTCTATTTACTGTGTAGTTCAATGGACAGGACACATTCTGCAGCACTATGAGGAAATCCGGACCGGATCTCCAGAGTGTTCAGCTTATGAGCATGTCTGTTCCATGGAAATAAAACAAGGAAAATGACAAAAAGTGACTCGGTGGACAAGTGTCTTACCTGCTGCGTTGCTGGTTTCCTGATTGGGAAGCAGAAGTTGGTGACTGAGCACCGGGGACAGGAGACGGTGCAGAAGGAGGAATACGAGGCAAGGATGCTGTTTTCCTTGAAGGAGCTTGCAGGCTAGAAGAGGGACTGCGCATGTAGGCACGATTTGAGGTGGACACCACAGGAGGTACATGGGGAGTCATGTCTTGAGAATATGATAGAGAGGTCGAGGATGCAGACAGATTCGCCCAAGACTGTGGTCTCCAGGAATTGGTTCGTGGAGAATCAAGGTTATCTAAGCTCTCACCTCTGGAAGGAAAAGGAAGACAGGTTGCCATAATAGATAAAAGTGTCACACCTCGGAAGTGGTTTGGTGCTTGAGTGTCCTAAACAGGAAGTGCTTTAAGGACCTCAAAAAAGCCCCACTTCAGAAAAAGCAAGCATTTAGGGACTAACTGATTTCAGTGGGAGTCAAGTTTCTGTCGGCCAAGGCCATTGGGTTGCACGCTTCCTCCAGAAGTAAGATCTGAACAGGTAGTTCTTGTGGGGTTCATTCAGGCTCACCCTACCTGTTAACCCATAACTGAAGGACTGGGGCAGGGGAAGGAGCAGGTGATTCCTAGATTTGCTACAAATAAGAGTGAAGAAATGGAAGAAGTGTAAGTGGTGGCCAGGAAGAGTAACCCCTCTCTCCAACACGACACGAGTGATCCCAAACTCCTTCTGGGTCTGTCTCTCTCTCTCTCCCTGCCTGCCCACTGCAGTCCCTCTGTTATGAGGGGAAAACTGTCTCTGAGGTTTACAAAACAAGTGTGAGCCCATCCTAAGAAAACAGCAAACCCAACTGTAAAATGCTCAAAACTGGGCAATCATTTCCCCCCAGATTAATGCAAATTCTGCAGCTGGTTTCATAAATGGGTGTTCCGGAGTGGCGTGGGCATCCTCCAAAGTGGCAGGCAACATACAGGGAATGCCTCCCAGCATTACCTCCTCATTTTACTGCCAGGTAGACTGATGGCCTCTTTATGCACGCTGGAGCTGCGCTGCCTGATCCAGCTGTTGTCGGTATTCAGGGACGCCTTCTTTCTCATTTCCTGCAGCAGCTGCAGTCTCTCCAGCTCAGCTGCGGACACACCATGTTCCTTCTGAGGCCTTCTTGGTGAGTCAACGGGATTCCAGGCTTGATCAGAATATCTGCTCTTTACTCCTAGTTTAAACAAGATTTGCACAAAGCAGACTTTCATTAGACGAAAAAAGCAAACGGCACGGTGTTTTACCATGCATATTACTGTATCTGCATCTTGGTTTTACTCTTGATTCACCAGAGTGTGATGACAGAAAGGTGATGCATACAGTCTATTTTTGCCAAGGCAAATATCTCCTCTGTGGAAAAAAATGTTGACGATAAATTAGTTGCAGAGACAATAATCTAATCTGCCAGGGAAATGAAGGCACCTGATGTCCGTAAAGCACACAACGCCTACCTTACTGGCCCACATCGGAACTGCAATTTACCCACGCATGCAAACCAAGCCCAACTACGAGACCTCAGGCCTGCAATAATCCAGTATGATGAAGTGACTCATGACAAAATAATGTCAGACTATTTCTAAAACATGAAGTCAGTCTTCCTCTCCTCCTCTCATTATATAACTCACCATTTCTATTGATGTGATGATCATCGAGATCTGTAGTTGATCGGGATTTATTTCTAGAAATAATTGGAGATGTCATATATTACATGGATGACGTTTACAGTAGGACATCAGTGCAATACACTTCCAGAATAATAAAAATATTTGGGTTCCATAGGTTCTGGTAAATATCACTGGGGACACATAGATTCTCTGGATGGAATTTGACATGCAGTGGATAGATGCTTTTTAGAGAAAGGGGGAACAGCATTCTCTTCCCGTGAGAATGGAGGAGATGATACCATATTTCCACAGGCAAATACTTAAGTTGATCCAGCTCAATGGCATTTTATTTCAGAGTCAAGAAAAACGATTATGAATTGCTTCATGTGAGCAAAACTCTCATGAAGCAGTGTTGGTAGGTCATAAATGACAACATCCTGAACTAGTTCATTGAGACTTTGGCTTGGAGAGTTGTCATCCCAGATGATGGGCATGTGTTGCCATGTCCAGATTCACGACATGAGAAGGATCAACAACGAGATAACTGGCCACTAGTAAAAACTTTCTCTTCTTCTGCATCAGACATATTCATAAGGATTCTGAACAGTAGTTGCAATAATTAAAAATGGAACAGCAAAATGGATTTTCCAAGCATGTTAACTGAATTACGCAAAGCTCATTCTGTCCCTCTTGCTATCTTTGCTCATTTATATACCCACACTCTTGCCGGCCTTGTTGTCTTTTGGAATGCATCAACATGTGGGTGAACAGCCTATGGGAAAATTCAATGTGATCCATATATAATAACAGAAGCAGCATCTGAAGCTAAAAATAAGCTATGAAATTATCTGATGTCCCAACTAAGTCATTATCAATTAGTTTTCCCCTTGGTTGAAAGATCAATGGATAAATAGGATGCAGACAGAGCTATAAATTTGAGCGTTTGACTTTGCTGTATTAAATCATGTCTGAAGGATTTCCAAATTACTGTTAAAGACTTCTGGAAATACATTCGCTTCTGTATTCTAAAATATTTGGGGTTTTTCCACATGTGAGGCCAACAGTGTCTTAAATTTGTGGCAGGCTCTCATTTTGCAGATCTCTGATCTAAGGAATTGCAGCTGAAATGACACTTCCCAAGTCATTCTTAAACAAATAAACCACACAGTAAAACTGAAGTGCAGTCACAGGAGAACACACAGAAGAGCCGCTCTATGATTAAGGGACTGCCAAAAAGAAAAAAGAAAAAAAAATGCTAACAAAAAGCACAGATCCAAGTTCTGGAACTTTAACAGAAGTCAGGTTTTAATCCTCCACGTTTAGCTAAGCTCTGCTATGCAGAGACATCTTAAGTGGCCAAGGCAGTGCTGAAGGCATATGTAATAAGGAGAGTGCATGAAAGAATTTGCTCTTACTTTCAAATCCTAACCTAACATAGTTGGTAAAAAAGCAGCGTTATTTATTTACCTGTCAGCGCTGAAGTAGCTGGGCCCCCCAGAGCTTCTTGTTGCCTCATAATACCTAAAGTAAATAAACATAATAATGAATCGCTTATGCAAGAACAGACTGATTTGGCTGATACCACGGGAAGACACAATAGTTCCCCACATTTGAACAAGAAATTCTTGCAGCCCCAGATCTGCATCCCAGAAAGAGGAAACCCCAGGAGAAGGGGATGACAGATCAGGGAGTCAGACCTGTTCTCAGTTGCATAATTTGGAGTCACACCACTAACAGAGATACCTGGTGGCAAATGTCTTAACATTGGTGCCTTACAAATACACTGGTTGTTGTGAGGCCAAAAGCCCATGCCCGCACTCAGTGGGACACACGCGTAGGTCCTCGTTGGACGGAAATCCTTTATGAGGATACATAACATGACTGACCGCCACCTATTATGTCCTACAAGATAAAGTAAAACTGTGATGTTTGTGGGGGAAATATCACTGTGTAAAGTCATTTCAGACAGCAAAAGGACCCCACAGTTCACCTTCTGTTGGGGCGTCCACCTAAGCAGGGAAGCTTAATTGAATGCATTAAAAGGAAATGCTTTTTCATTGCCAAGGAACTGCTTTTTAGAACTACTTACAATTTAGAAAAAAATAGAAAAGTTCCTTCTCGTAATTTCAGCACAAGTTATACGTGATTTTTAGAAACATAGAAATGTTTTAATAAAATAATAAATAATAAAAATAAAATTTTTACAGCGTAGGCAGATTGGGTACTCCCTTGTCCTATATACCCTGGTATTCCTCATAAGCAGGCATTGTACACAATAGGAACTACATATATACTAAGACATAGACAAAGACTTAGGAATTCTAGTATCTGTTTGTCTCTATCCTCATAAGCCAGGGTGGTTATCCTTCCATAATAGGCTTGTGCTGCCTTGTTAACAACAAAATCCCTAATTAGTAACTGACAACCAGCTGGTTTAGGAACGCATACCAAAGGCAAGTTTCTGACTCAGGCTTTGATGGCAAATTTTATTTCACTAACTGCAGCAGCTTGTGGGTCAGCCTCGCTTGGAAGCACAGGGCAATAACGTGGCTGCGGCTGTGAAGGAAGAGCTTGACAAAAGCCTTCTGCAAATCATTTACTCCGCAAAGCATCCTAGGGAGGAGATGATCTGAGGTGCTCTGAATGAGCCGGTGGAGCCATGCGCCCTCGCGCTGCCTGTGCTCATGCTACTAAACGCTTCAGTGCACGAGTGCCTCATGGAAGGAATCTGCGGCAGATTTAAATTACAGCTCGGCTGCAGGACCACAGTCAAAATGGATTTATTTATTTTATTTGTTTTTATTTATTTACAGTGTTTTTACCCTGTCCTTAATGTTTCAGGATGGCTTGCAACCATCATTTTGCTCTGTGCTCCCAAAAGGGCTCTGTTAGGAACTGAGTGCTGCTGGACGTGAGTGGTTCCATGTAGAGAAACGATGCACACCTACGGTCAAGTCTGTGACACCACTGGGGCCATGCTCCAGATTTCAGAATAAGCTCGCCCCTCAGCCACCTTGCCCGAGTACCCTTACTAGGTTGGAGCCTGATCTAGTGCAGGCCCATGTTATTTTGCTAAATCTCTCATCAGAATGATTGGGGGTGTATATAAGCATGCAGTATAGCATTCAGCTGCGGCTGAATGTTAGAAATGCTGTGTCGCTGGTCTGATAAACTCATGTCTGACAGGGACAATGTCCAGTGACAGAGTGATGCAAATAAAGAAAAATGTAATAAAATATTTATTTATCACGTTTCTGTCCCACTTTCTTCTTTTTTTAAAGGACTCAAAGTGGCTTACATCCTTCTCCTCCTGCTGTTCTCAATTTTATCCCCGTTTTCTGAAAGTCTGTGACCGGCCCAAAGTCACCCAGCTGGCTCCATGGCTGAGCGGGGACTAGAACCCAGATCCTCTGAGTCCCAGTCCCACACTCCCAGCCATGCTGGCTCTCACTGAATGGAACTGACCATATTATCTATTACTCTTTGTGTATGCAATACACACGTCAGTATCTACATAATACCGATAGATATAACATATTTTGTCCATACATATTGAGTATGCTATTTGGGTGCACCAGTGCTTTTTTTTGCCATAGAACACACCAGAACAGAGTTCCAGCACCTTTTTTCGACAGATTTGCCAAGTTTTAAAAGTAACTTTTGAAAATTTGATGTTTGGTCCATGTGGATTCGAATCACCCTGTCGAGTGTAGCAGGTTCGCAGCAAAATAATTAAAACAGTGCATGCGGGCTGCTTGCGTGTCGAATCCGATGCGTGCGTACTTCGTCCGTGCTGGCTGTGATGGCGCTGCTTGGCATGTGGCACTGCTCGGCTTGTGATTGGTTGTGTGGTTGCACACTGAGTGCTGACTGCGGGCGGCGACCGTTATGTTTCGTTACACAATTGATGTGTGTGGGTGTGTGTACAGTGATTGACTACATGAGAAAGGTAAATAATTTCATGAGTTCCGGCACCTTTTTTCTGACAAAAAAAGCACTGGGGTGCACCAACAACAACCTGCAAATGCACAGGGTTGGCCAAATATGTGGCGTGTGACGCGTACCTCTGATACTGGAACTTTGGCGCTGCCACTTCCCTGACCTGTTCCACATGCGACTTCGGTTCTGCCTCCGCATAGCATTCTACATCCTGAGAAAAAGACTTCCTCAAGGGGCTTGGCTCTGGGAACTTCCTTTCCTGCTCGGGTTTCACGTCTGCCAATTCTTGCGATGGCTGTACCTCCCGATGATATTCCTGCTCATCCTCCTTCTGGGCCTGCTCTCTTTCCTCCACCCACTGAGCACCGGTGTTGGAATAGTCAGTCTTGTCACTTCCGTTTTTCAGCCAGGGAGATGCCGGTGGCTCTTGTGCCGTAACGAGAGTGGGACTTGTCTTCAGTACAATTTGCTCCTGGAAAAGAGTGCGAGACTTACAGGAGTGAAATAGACGCAGGATATGTGTCGTTCCAGGAAATGCATTGACCTGTCCGAGGTGTAAATGGGGATCACCCATCGGAAAGAGACTTCCAGGTGGTAACCCACCAAGATGGAGAGTCAGTAGATTAGATGTGGGAGTTAAGGAAGCAGGCTGTTCTGGGTGCTGTTCTACCCTGAAGGAGGCATCTGCTGTACAGAGTGACTCTGCTTCATTGCAGGAGTCCAAGAAGCCAAATGCTGCCGTGCTTGCTTCAGTTCTGGCTGGTTTGGGCACTCTTGGGAGGGTTTCCCTGGCCACAGTAATCCAGGTCCCGTTAACACAGGTCCTCAGACTACTGCAATGGGACTGGCCTTGGATAGTCCCAAGACTGCAGCCGTGCAAAATATATCCATGAGAGCACTGACTGCTCTAGCAGCTCTAAAGCATGTAAGGCTGGTTCGTAAAGAGCACTAATTTGTCACCTAGCCCGACTTGAAATGCCTGTTTTGATGTATACAGCTCTAAATGGCTCAAGGCCTGGCTTGCTAAAAGAATGTCACCCTATGTATCATTCATTTACACAGAAGGGTCCTTTTCATCAGCAAATGAATTCAAGACTTCTAGAACTCATCGCAGGGCCTTCTCAGTGGTGGCCCCCTCGTTTGGAGTGTCCTCTCCCTGGAGATCAGATTGATGCCAACACTGGCTAGTTTTTAGTGCTAGATGAAAACTGTCATTTTTCCCCTCTAGACTTTATGATGAACATTTGGCCCTATACCTCCTCATATATCAGAGGGGAATAGTTAAAGCACAATATATGACACTGACAAATGTGTGCATTTTATTGGATATTTTATCTTACAGGTAGGTTCAGATTAATGCAGATAATAAACCCTGTGAAGTGGTTGCATTGGACCTATTCAAAGTTATAATTCAATGTAAAATATGGTAATTGGTTCCAGCTCAATGAAAATAGGAACTGAGAAAAATTAAGCGCAAGTTCTTCTATGCTCGTTAACAAAATTACAGGCAAGGATAAAAAGAATATACTTATAATTTAAAGGTCTTGCTAACAAAGGCACAGATGCTGGGAATGAGAAGCCTGGCTGCTTTGGGAGCTCATTCGCAAGGACTCTGGCTGGAATTCATCAGAATCACGTTCAGCACAACGGGACGGAGCCTCAGCCATGCCCAGGCATGGAGGAGAGGGAAGCGGGGGCGCTTCTCTCAAGGCCAGACTCCCCAGGTGGGCAGGCAGTCTCTGGGAATGGCCAGGATCTACGGCTGGCGGGAGGGGACCCAGAGCACAGGAGTTTCTCAGGCACAGACCAGGCAGCTCTGAGCTTGACCCCATGATGTGATGTCAGCAGGGACGGGTCCAGGCATGCTCGTAAGGAGAGCTCCTGGAGGTAAATGCTGGACCGGGTTCAACAAACCACTCTGTGTATGCTTAGAGAGTCATTCTGAGTGATCGTGCTTTTGGGCCAATCAAGAACGTTTCGCAAGGAGTATGGCTTTTGAATACTCGGAGAGGAACCCCAGCTTGTGACACAGAGTAGTTAGAAAGAGCATCGCTGAACCAGACACTTTATGCAGTGTAATATACTGCTGAGCAGTTTTTGCATGGCCAAGCAAACTGTTAAGTATAAATCAATATAGTTAAAATACAGTTGCTTTAATGGCAAACTTCTTGTCCCTGCGATGAACCATCAAAAGGATAAACACTGCCCATTGTCTGCTTTATTTCACTGCCACTTCTGCAGTTATGATTCACAGGCTTCTCTGTAGCTGCACACACATGACATGGCGGTAATAAATTCTTTCCCTGTCTATATTTTCTTAGGCCTATGAAAAGGATGGTAAATAAACCACAGAGTTCAGAAACTTGCAGAGCAACACTGAAAACCCTAGTGGAAACCCAGTAACCTCAACTACGCATGTGCTAGACTTGCATTAACTGAATTTTGGTTCGCATTAACTGAAACCTTGGACCACTGTATAATTCGCACTAAATCAAATACTGCATTATTCGAAGTTGCATTAATTGCAACCTACCTGTAGGATTACCCTGTAGGAAGCAATGTTTTGGATAAAGAAAAAAAATACCTGTGATATTTCAGGCAACTCAATACGAAAAGATTAGATTCATTTCATGGTAGACTGTTTTGCCATAGAAAGCCTGTTAGAATCACAGAATTTAAGGGGACCTTGGAAAGTATTCTCCCTTTACTTCCAGCCTCATGTGGGAAAATCCAGGGCTAGAAGCTTCCAGTTTCTGCTTGAAGACCTCCAGTGAGGGGTTGCCCATGACTTCGATGCAACACTTCTAAAAGGCTCACGCAGAACCACTGCATAAGCGGAGTCAACATGAATACAGGTGAAGTTATCTATATAAAAGAATGGTCTTTCTTCCATCTACCATGGTGCCTTCATACAAATTAGCAATGGCTCTCTAAGGTCTCACCTGGTCTTTCTGTCCAAGTGTGCCACTGCAACAGCTGGTAGCAGCGAATAATTACACAAGGATCAAGTTCAACCCAGCATTTCAGAGTACAGAATATATTCCATGCTAACCAGTTCTTCTTGGATGGATCAGTCATTATATTTATTTACAAGTCATTTTAAGATGCTCGTAAATATTACAAGAAACTGGTTTTTTTTAATTGTTAAACTGTGTGCCTGAGAAAGTTTTTGAAACATGAACGCTTGTCATCAAGTGAATGTTATTTGGTACAGTGGTACCTTGGCTCATGAACGCCTCACTTCACGACCAAATTGGGTCGTGAACAGAAATTTCAGACAAATTTTGCCTCGGGTTGCGCACTCTGCATTGGGCGATGATCGCGATTGCGCCCATCTTCCCTGCACAGGTGCGACTGTGGTCGTGCTGGAGGGGGGGCGGCTGCGATCGCACCCATTTTCCCTGCATAGATGCCCGTCTATGACTGCAATCGCGGTCACAGTTGTGCAAGGAACATGGGTGCAATCGCGGTCATGCTGCGGGGGGAGATGGCCATGAACTGTGTTGTTCTTTGTCACTTTGCTTCAAATTTTTGTGATTAAAAAAATAGTTACAGAACAGATTAACCATATTTACATTGAACCTTATGGGGAAATTTGACTTGGGTCACAACCAATTTGGGTTGCGACCAGAGCCGTGGAACGGATTAAGTTCCTGAGCCACTGTATTTTGCTTAAACGTTCCTGTTTTAATTTTTTCCAAACAAAGCAGTGCAGCTGCCTGAATTTTCTGTTAGTTTTCCAAAACGGCCTGTGCAAGGATAAAAGTAGGCTAGATGGTTCATGCTAAGAGAGGTCAAACCACAGGGCACCCACCTCATGCAAGTATTTGGAGCTCTCCTTTTCCGCCTCTTGCTGAGCCTTCAGCCATTCCTCCCTCAGCTTTTCTTGCTCACGCCTGTATTTCTCCTAATTTGAAAAGAAATGCGAGCATGTTTATTTGCGGGCTAAACATTTGTTTTGTTATAAGAGGACTCTGAACTGCAGATGAACTAAGGATGATGATAGTAGTCATAAGGACAATATAGTGTACAACTTCAGATAAACTCATGGCAGGAGCACCACGGCACATGATATCCTTGGAGTTCTGTGAAAACGCAAATGATCCTGCCTCATCTTGGAAGCTAAGCAGTGTCTGGTCTGGTCTGTATTTGAATGGGAGACTTGAGTCCTCCACTGAACAGGGGGTTGGATGCAAGGGCTTTCTAGCCCCCTTCCAACTGTGCGATTCGATTCGATTCAGTTTGATTCACCCAGCCTTTTCAACACACGGGACCAAACTTGTGGTTTCATTCCTAAGTGATACCTCATTCATTTTCCTTAAAATGCTTATCTTAGTCCTAAATTTAAGAAAACTTTTGTGGCATCTCCATCAGTGGTGAGTGACAGCATCCGGCACATTTTCAGGGGCACCTTTTTTTTGTAAGTTGTACCACAATATTTCTGGTACAAAGGCTAAGGAACTGATTAATACAAACATTTTAATAATAAATAAATAAATCTATTTCTTACTACATCTGTAAGAAAGTAAGTTTATCTAGGTCCTTTCCATTTCCATTTTTATGTCTCCCCTCTGCCCAAAACAACAACACCAAGCTACATTAGTGCTTCTAGTAACATGAAGGAACAGCTGGCTTTAAGCCACTGATAAAGGTCCCAAAATAAGCTGTCGACAGATTACCAACACTGAAGCAGAATTTGGTTTTGTGTCACGTGTCTGATTTCTGAAGGATTTCTCCAATGTGTTTCATACACAAATTCTGTCACCAATAAATCTACTGACCATTTTCAGATCAACACCACGCAGAATACCGGAGGAAGTATTACAATGCAATATGCTTTGCCTGGGGACAGTTTTACTTTAATCAGATAATCAGACTTATTAAGGAAAACCTAAAGCACTAAATCGTATGCCTGAGAATAAACTCATGCTTGAGGATGAAATATGCTGCACACAACAGGAGTGTTGCTGAACACAACAAGTGCCTTTCACCACATTAAGTAACTGCACTTGCCGGCTTGGCCAGCCATTCTAGAACCAAGCCCAGCTGCAATGGGCGCCACCCCAAGCAGCCCTACCTGAAGCAAGCGTTCCTGTTCTGCCTGCCATTTCTCTTGCCTTTTCCTTTCTTCTTCTTGGTCCCAGGCCCACCGACTGGGAGAGCTGATGGGTGGAACCGGGAACTGTAACACAGCAATGAAAGACCAGCTTCAGCGGAGATGTTTCTTCCAAACCCTCACACAGATAAGTAGCAATACTAATCACAGCCTTCAATTGGAATTTATAGTTTAGTAGGAACCAAGGATTCCCACTCCTTCATTTGGCCCTTCGAATGTGGAGCGCAGAGGAGCTGGCTTGGAAGCTGCAGCTAACAAAAATGGTAGTCATCTAAACAGAAAGCTGCAGAGGGCAATGGAAGGAGCCTGGGGGCTGTCCGTACACCGCTTAAGCAATCAGCCCTGGCCACCAACCTGCTGGATCCTCCAACATGCCCTTTAGTCCTCTCTGAGGTTCATTTCAGGCCTTGCAGATTCAGCCAGCATGATCTTCCATGGGTGAAAGGAAGGGAGGGTCCAAATTTGGAATCCCAGTGCCATGGCCAGAGAACTTGGGACTCCAAATAAGCCTACCCTGCCCCCCACCCCGCAAAACATCAGTGAGTCATAGGAACCACAGCAGGTGGGAAAAAGGCTTAGGTTTCCTTTTTGCCCTTCCCATGACAATGCCTACTCCAAGTCTGTACACAGCAGAAGCAAAATGGATTTGGTACTCCTGCATTTTCCAAACATCTAACCTACTTTGACATTAAAGGAAATGACAGATTAACAATGGACTGTTCTTCCATTGCACAGGCACACAAGAACAAGATTAGCTTTGGTAGTTTAAAAAAAAAGAAGCTTAAATAAATACATAAATAACCCTCCATATTTCTGAGGCTCAAAGATCAAGAATATGTTTATCACATTTCACAAATTTTGCAAGTAGTCATTTCAAGCTTCATAGAGAGAAGCTAATAGGGAGCAGAACTGCTCTATTATATATGATAACTGTATTATTTACATGTTATTTTCATTTGTGGCCATCTTGTTATTACTTCTGCTCTTGTATTATTGACTAGCAAATGAACCCAGCTCTGCACAGGTTGGGATTGCTGATCGTTTAAGGCAGCCAAGCTTTCACACAAACTTAGACACCTGTCAGAACTGGACCTTTAGTGTCTACCCCACCTGAGAGCAGCAAGGGCCAGCCTAGCCCCTGCCTTACAAAGGACACTGGCAAATGGCTCTATCCACCCCATTCTTCTCAGGGGTCTTGCCCCAGCTACTGGGAAGGGACTGATGTGCAATTTTGACTCTCAGCCTACTGATTTCCCCTGGCTTAAAACTGTGGGGTCTGCAAAGCTATGTACTGGTTAGGAAAGTCATGGCTGTGGTCTTTAACTATATGGATGCCTTTAAATTAAAAGTAATGTATGCATTAAAAAAAGCTAAATAACTCCATTTGGTACACCCCAAGAGTCCTACGGATACACAAGCCAAGTTTCAGGCGTTAGGTTTCAAAGTCGCGGTGCTGTAAGAGACAGAAATCCTCTTTTCTTAGGCAACTTTACATGAAGTACTACAGCATTATTACTTACATCAGGCATTGCAGGTTCTGAACCTCCTGGAAGATTTAAGCCGGTCAGCACAAAAAAAAAAAAGAATGAAAAAGAGAGAAAGGAAGCTGTTACTCTGACCTGGAGGATGCTATTTAAGCTGCAACTAGAAATTTGTGCTGGGTCTCATTCCCTTTATCAGTTCAAAGAGTCACCAAATGCCTTCCTATGAACAAAAAGCCTAAGAGAACTACATGAAACAGAAGCAATAATACAGGTTTGTTTGCATTGTGGATGTTGCATTGCTGGTCGCTTGGATATCTGCTCTATGTTGAAAGCAGGGAGACAGTAGAGTATTTCCCAGGGAAATGTGTTGGTCCCCACACCAAGAGAAGACTCAGAGCGGCCTGCACGTTTTCCAGACTGTACGGATTTTATCAGGGAGTTCTTATTTCTGTATCTGTTCCAGGTACTCCTCCTTCACGGGCTTCTGATTACTGACAAACAAGCAGTTGTAGGGGCAGGAGGCAAGCCGGTTCTTCCAGTACATGCTGAAAGGCTTATTAGCATCCTTCAGTGCTACCAGGAGGAACACAACGAAAATACTATGAAGGGAGAGATCTTGGGCCTGACATGAGCAGCTGCCAATCCAGTGAACGAGGAGAGCAAGAGGAGGTGGGAGCCCCATCCCAACAGCCTCGACAGTCCATTAGACGCCCAGAGGAGAGAAGCCGGCCAGATTGCCTGTAGCACCTGCTTCTTCCTACCTGAGAAAGTGGCTGACACTGGCAGAAAGGAGAAGACGGAAAAAGGCTGTGGAAGTGCAGCCACATCACCTGGGGCAGATGTTTTGTAGGCCTGAACACCTGGAAGGCCCTGAATCCTGCCAGCTGTGCTAATGGGCGGGTTGGGAATGGTTGTCCAATTGCATCCATGATGCAATAAGCTGCCACTCACAGCTGCCTCAGGGGCGGGATGCAAGGCCCTCCAACCTCACCAGTGCTTCCAACCAACAGTACAGGTGCTCCTTTCTCTAACTGGGTAAATGCTAATTGCAGGCATGGCACAGGTAACTGAAAATAAATGAAAAGAGCACTCCATGTGGACCTGTCCTGGAAAAAACACTCCACTCAGGTTTAGCTGAAGCCTTTCCAATTTCTTCCAGATACCCACTTAAAAAAAAATAGCTTATAATCACAGATCTACACTCCATTTTCAGAAAAGCAAGGGCTTGACATAAAGCTAAGACTGCAATACTCTTAATAAATAACAACAACAACTACTGCTGCTACTACTAATTTCCAATTTCTTCCAGGTATTCACTTTAAAAAAATAGCTATAATCACAAATCTACACACCATTTTCAGAAAAGCAAAACTTGACATAAAGCTAAGAATACAATATTCTTAACTAACTAACTAACTACAACAGCAACTTGTGCCAAGGTAGCATTCCAACTGATCTGTGCTAACTTGCCATCTAATATACGTTCAAAACTGGTCAAACCCACAACAATGACTCCATTTAAAATTTTAAAAACTGTATGCATATTTTAAGCTCTCCAGCAGAAAACAGAACAGTCATGCATAACTCACTTGTCAGGTAGTGCTTCCTCCACACCTGAACTTTTACAAGCTACTCCCACCTATCACTCTTGGCAAAACAAACCATATGCAGCAGGTGGGCGAAGATGTTTGCTCCCTTCTAAAAATCATTTCTGTTCAGCATATTTCTGAGATACCCCTTCCGTGCAAGTACCCAAGGGAATGCACAACCGAAATCGTTCACCCAAATTCCAAAAACGCCGGTTTAACAACCAAGGCAAATTTGCAGGAATTTGGAAGTGTTGGGCAGGGAAGACCTGAGAGCCTAGGAGGTACAGCTCATCCTGCAGCCACGCTTGACTCCTTCCCTCACTCTTTGCGATACTTTCATTGTAGCTTCTCTAATGCAACATGCCAGGCACAGAATGGGGAAATAAGGCTTGTTCCCCTGCACTGCACAGAATGCCAGAGCCCTCTGTGCTCAGGAGTGCAGCTAAACGTCACTCCATGTTGCGTTATAATGGCAAGTCATTACAAACAGCAAACCTGTTTAAGATTTGTACAATCCTTTCCAGACAGCAACAAATGTGCTACAGGGTTGAAAGAACTGACTTTCCAGAGGTACCAAACCTCCTTTTTAGAGAGTAAAGGAATGCCATTGCACAGGAATGGAAGATCAACCTTGCAGAAGAGGGACAGACTCTGCAAAAAGGCCGTGCATGCAATGATCTGATACTGTAGACAAATCCTAAGAAAGATAATGAAGCAACCGGGAATAGTTATCTGTTGAGAAGCTGCTCTGGTGTCTGTTTGGGAAAGGTCTACTTGCACTCCCAGAAGAGCCGAGTGACTAACATGTACGAACAGGTCAGACGTTAAACTACCACTCCTTCCATCAGTGGCCGAGTAAGTAATTCGGATAAATGCCCTGTCATACTAAAAAGATGCTTGAGAGGTATGCCGGGACATTTCCGATGCCTGCCATTCCCATAAACATGAATCGGCTGAATCAACTCTGCAGTATATTACTAAGGCAAATCTTTCAAACATATTCAAAGAGAAGCATTGTGTACCAAAACATTATTTGGAAGAAAATTTCACCATTAAATAGAAGGAAAACATACATTCATTAATGCTCTAAAAGTGAAGTGCCAACTTGATGATCACCACCAGGACAGCACAAGTGCAGAAAAATATCAAGACACGTACAGCACTTGACACAAATCACAGAAGTGAAAATGAGTGCGACATGCAAAGCAGACTAGAAGAATCCTCGGAGGACTGAGAAACTGTGGTAGCCAATGCACCTTGACATTTCCATCATTTTAGCCTTTGCTCATGGTGATGAGGCATATATTTCATACTGAACACCAATGGGCCACTTTTAATAAATACCAGTCACAGTATGAATGACGTTAAATTTGACAGTCTCTCAGAGCTTGGGAATTTAGCATCATAAACCCTTGCTGTTCACTCAGCATGATGGTCTATTGTAGGAAAGCTGCTAATCTGAACAAAGTTTTTTGCACAGTGTTTGAACACATCAAGAGTGTGAAAAGATATGAGGTATAAAGGAACACACAAAACCCATTACCACAGAGGTAGACCCATGAATTGTAAGAAAACCCTGATGATCCTAGGGAAAGAAGGGAAACAGATTAAACTGGTTTGGCATCATTGCAACAATCAAGGACTGAAGAAATTTAGAACCCAACACCAGAGACTAGCTACGAAGGATGGACAGCGGGGAACAATTTCATGGCGGTACATGAAATGCAGGCTTTGGGGTTTTGGTTTGGTTACCTTGTTCAAAAAACTGTGACCGTCTTTTTAAGATTTTCAAAGAAATAGATTCTGTATCTATTTGAAAAAAATATGAAGATACAAAACAAGTCAGCAGGGTGTGGTCTGGTTTTATGTACTATCTGTCCACAGAATAATCCCTATTCAGAGAATCTAACTTGAGCAGCCGCCAAACAAACATCTTGTTGCTTGCAAATGGTAGCATATGATTTTGTTCCAGTTGCATCACACTAATTTTTTAGTTTAACTCGGTCCCTTTATAAATCACTGTTATGCGACCAAAGTTTAAATAGGGCCAGGACAGATACCATGTTGGCCTAGGGCCAGGAAGACCCAATTCAAATCTCTGCTTATTGGTTATCCTGGAAAATCTCTCTCGGTCTAAAATGCCTTATAGTGGCCAGAATCCCTTGGAAGAAGAGTGGGATACAAAATGTGGTACATGAAGATAAATGAATGAAAGGGCTGTTTTCCTGTCATGCTCAAACATCCATGTCTTATTTATTAGATGTATATCCCACCCTTTTATTTTTCAAGAACACCAAGTGCCTTGAATCATTCTCTTCCTCCCTCTCTTAATCTCCAGCAACACCAACCCTGTGAGGTAGGTTGAGGCTGTGAGCCTGTGACCTGCCCAAAGTCACCCAGTTGGCTCCATGGCTGAGCGGGGACCAGAACCCAGGTCGCCTGAGTCCCAGTCCCGGGCTCTTCACCACCACACCACACTGCCTTTGTTTTATCAGCCTAGTTTTCCTTTGGTTGATTCTCGCAGCACTTTGTACATGGCTTTCAGGCACTCTCCCATAGAGGCACCAGCCAGGCTGAGATTCGCAAAGCTTCGAAAACGACCAGAGCAATCTGGAATGACCTCCTGAGAGCACAGGCTGCATTTCAAATTCTTTCAACATACTGTAGGGCAGAATTTGAAAAGGTAGATTAGGAGTCAAGGCACACAGCTCTGTTTCCCCTGAAATGATTGGAGACTGCAAGGGAGCAACTGCTGAGCTGCCACACACTCTAGTTTTATGCTACATGTTAAACTTTCCCTTCCTTTTCTGCCTTCCTCTAAAGAGTAACCTTAAAAAACAAGCACATTTTACAGCATGTATACCAGAATGTACAGTACATATTCATTCTTTGAAAAGCGAGTGCTGGATATACTTTACCTTTTCTTTCAAGAAGGGATAGAAAACACACACCACCCAGCAAAGCAGAAATTGGCATACACAGTGAAAGGAAGATAAACTTATGAACTTGTCCTAACTTTCACTCCAAACACTGCTGCTTAGTGTTCCATTTCTGCATCTCTGCCTTATTTTTCTTGTCTCATTCTTCACACACAGACACGCACTCTCTCGAGAGCCAGTCGTGCAGAATTAAGGACCTAGCTGTCATTCTGTTAGCAGTTCTGTACAGACTCAGTGCTTCTTGAACTGAAATCCATTTGTCTTTTGCACGAAGCTACACTTACACAAATTTAAGTTTTCCTGGAAAGCTCAGATTTCATCTGGACTCAAGTCCAAGCACAGCATGTTCTACAGGTACCTATAATATAATTCCTAGGAGCTCACGTTCCCTTTAACTCCTGACGGTCGATGGTTAGCAACTAAAAACATCAGTGTTTTTACCTTTATGCTCATTGGAACTTGCATCTCTCTGCATCCCATTGACTTTTGTTTCAGAATCCTGAAAGGAGAAAGTTAACAGAGTGTAACGCTCCCTTGGCTTTGACTTCATGCTGCCACCAGCCTGAAATCCTCCAAGGCTCTGGCACTTCTGAAGGCATGCAACTTCAGCGTATTAATGACGGGCTGAAAGCGGGTGCCCCTGCTCCACTGCAACTTCTCCCTTAAGCGGGATGATTGCCACGCATGTCGCAGAAATCATTGCCATTACATGGCATTTATATCCCGCTGTTTTTCCTGTTGCAAAGAACTCGAGGAAGCTCAGATGGTCCTACTCCTTCACTCCTCCATGTTATCCTCATAACAACCACCCGGTGAGGGAGGCTAGACTGAGAGCCAGTGACTGCCCAACATCAGCCAATGTTCTTCATGACCAAGGGGGCACTGGAACCTGCATCTCCTGAGTGCCAGTCCGACAGACTAACCTCCACACCACACTGGCTCTCAAAGGATCCTTGATGGAATATTCATTTTAAGTGCTGCGATTCTACCCATCCGTGAAGGTTTAAGTTTGGGCCATGCTTTTATAAACTTGTACATGCTCTTAGGGAAGTTATGATTGATCTCTCTCTTAATGTGACCATTATCAAATTTTATTTATTTATTTATTTATTTAAAACTTTTATATGCCATCCTTTATGTGTGACATCTCAGGACGGCTTACAACATTAAAATAAGACTACAATAAAACAATCAATACCAATATAAAACAATATATAACCAATCAAAATAAATTAAATCAAAAGCCACTGTTAAAACCATTAAAATACTAATTTTTAAAATAATGCTTAAATAAAAAGGTTTTCACATGGCGCCGAAAAGAATATAGGCTCGGCGCCAAGCAAACCCCTCCAGGGAGCACATTCCACAATCTGGGCACCACCACAGAGAAGGCCCTCCTCCAAGTAGATATCCTTTTGACCTTCTTCAGGGAGGGTTCTCAGAGCAGGGCCTCCCCCGCAGATCTTAAGGGGGTGAGGGCGTATAAGGAAGGAGATGTTCCTTCAGGTATTCTGGTCCCAAGCCGTTCAGGGCTTTAGAGGTCAAAACCAGCACCTTGAATTGGGCCCAGACTTCAACTGGAAGCCAGAAGAGCTGGTAAAGGACTGGCGTTATGTGAGAACATTAAATTCTTCTGCGTTATGGACAGAAAGTATGCAGGAGGGAACGGTCAGGAAGATGCTGGGAGTCTGTCTTCTGCAATGGTTTGGTTTTCTATGTGGAACAGCATTAAATCTTTCTTTCTCTTGCCCAAGGTGACCAAAAACATTTCAGGATATCACAATACTGATTTAAATTTATAACTGATTTTGCAATCTGTCTGGTTAAAAAACATAAGCAGTTGTTGCTTAGAAAGCCAAGGTTTCATGTAGCTTCTTCCAAGTTGTTAGGACAATACTCTGATGGCAAGGAAGGGTTTGGAGGCTGCTATATTCTGGTTATACAGCAAACCACAGGACCAGAGTCCCCTTTAATTGAGTGTTTTGACCTCTAAACCAAAGCTGTTTTTCTCTAGAATAAAACAGGATACATATCTTGGAGCATGCTGGATGGCATTTGGCAGGCTTCTCTGCAGGCTGGCCACTTGGTCCTGTCTGCATTTTGTTTTGCGAACTGCCAACAGAAGTTTGGGCAGCAAAGAAATGGAACAAGAGTAATGAATCTGTTCACACTCAAATGAAAAAAAAATGCAGAAGGAAGAGTTATTCCCAGTCTCAGTAGAGGCTGGTTGGAAGAAAGGAAGGGTCGAATAGTGAACTCACATAACGAGAGCAGTGGGCAGCCATTTTCTCTGTGCTCACTGAGTTCAGTTCTTACAGTGTTGGCCCTTTTCTCATGCACACTGGAATAGCAAATATCCTGCTGAAACACACAGCAAGACATCTTAGCCACAGTAATCTTATGTGCATCAGCAGAGAAAACCACAACCTAGCCAGGGGTTCCTTCTGGACAACAGCCCTAGATGAGAAGTTTTCATTAACAAAAACAAACCTGGAAAGGCTTTTGTCATACATGCGTAACATAGATCCAAACGGGGTGCCCCTTACACAAACAGTCCTCTGTAATGGCTTAATTGTACATTCAACACACTAAACTCGGTGTTCTAATCAAAGCAGCCTGTTAGGTTTATGCTAAGCAACCAGTCCTGTTTGAAGAAGAAAACCTTCCATTTATTATTCATCCTGGAGTTCCAGTGAAGAAAAGGAAATAAAGTGTTGCAGGGAACTGAGAAAAAGTGTCCAAGTCTCTACACCTAAGAAGTAACATAACAGGCCAGTTTCTACTCCTTGTGTTTAATCTCAGTGCCCAGAAAATTAAACAGCTCAATTAAGGCTCAAAAAGAGACATGCATCCACTTACGTCATTCTGGAAGTTGTTGTGAAAGTCTTTCTGTGCTGATATATTTCGGCTTTTGGGTGCAGAACTTTCTCCAGATGTAGCATCGATCCATTTGTTTTCAGGAGTACCTATAATGTTGGTAGCCATACTGGTGAGATTGAGGATTTTGTGCTTTGCATATGGCAGGGAAGGCTGGTCTTTGCCCCAGTCTGATTGGCACGTGGAGATCAAAAGAAATTTAAAAAGTTGACAGGGGAATTTCAAAGTATGAAGGAAAAGAACTGACAAAAAATGCATCCAAATAAAAACAGAGAAAGACAGACATAGGAGAACGGATAAAGTTAGGAGTGAAGTGTAGTTATAATGTTAGGAACAGGTAGGGCTTTTATGAACAGACCGCCTTCCCCCAAAAAAGCAAGTGTTAGTGAAAAGCTCACACAAATAGTAGCAAGTTCACTGACTTTTTTAAACAATTACAGAGCGGAACAGATATATGCTATGGAGCTAGGACATATGATTCTGGGTGTGTGCTTAATTTCAAGTGGTAGCAGGGAATGAGAGGATAGATCTTAATGACTTCATACAGATGTTTCACACGATGGGAACACAGAACTAATAGGTGTGTTCGATCCTTTCTGTACATCTGTGAGAAGGGCAACCAAATAGCATGGGATCTGTTCCTCAGAAAGCTGGGAACTTTGGTGTCTCGTCCTGCAAAATGTAAGGAAAGTAGACTTGCTAATATTGCTGATTTTACAGTTTTAATACATGCAATGGGTTCTTTTAAGAAGCTGAAACTTTAAAAGCCACACCATCTGTATTCACAAAAGTGGGAATACCAGCAGCAAGTATTTACTTTTCCCAACCAAAGAAACAGCCAAAGGGCTACTGTGCTCAGCTCTAGCAAGACAAGAGGGTTGCATCGCAACAAGTTTGCAGGCAAAGGACAGGCACCTTGTGGGTCATGCAGCAAAGCCACCCCAAGAATAACCCACCCTTCTTTCCATAGCGCCGGACGTCCATGACAAGGGTCCCGGTTTCTAGCGCATTGCTGATGGCTGCTTCCCACTGACTCGGATCCATTTGTGAGACCTTTGTGCCATTGAGGGACAGGATCTCATCGTCAACACGCAGCTGGCAAAAGTCCGCCGGGCTACCTGGTAACGATGGAGAGAGGCATGGGGGGCTAGCAGGCACAGCCGCAATCAAAAAGCAGCCGGGATCTGTTTTTTCAAGGCTTTGTCTGTGAATCTTGGGTTGCATTTCACCTTTCCATCAACTGCCATAAGAACCCTCGTGGCGAAGTAGAAGGATCCACATTTTAGAAGCAAATGGATGCATAGCAGGCTCATGCTCTTCATTATCAGATCCCTGATCGTTTCAGGGGATGATACAGAAGGGTCCTACTTGTGCTGAAGAACTCCTTCTATGCATAACAAAGGTCCATTGTGTGCAAAGAGGCAGGTAGTGCCAACATCACTGAGATAATTGGTATACTAAGAATAACTTTGCATTTTGGTTGGCACAAAGAATCATCTTCAATATAAACACAAACCATTCAGTTGAGATGGTCAGTTCTGGGGGGTTGTTTTGGAGGGGGGTTGCCAAAGGAAGCACCTTTCCTGCATGAGATGGCTAAAGGGGATGAAGCAATGAATCCTGCATGACAATAACAAGTCAGAAACTTCTGAATTGCCAGAATACAGGAAAGCCAAACTAACACCCCAGGAACAACCAGATTTTTCGGAGAGCCTCCTCCAAAACTATGGGCATGCCATCATTGGGATGGGGGCTCTGGAATCAGATCCCGTCTCCCACAACCACCATGGTGGATGGCTTTCCAAGGTCACAAATGTGGCTTTCAAGAAGCGTTCAAAGCAATGTCCCACTGGTTGCAAATGGAGGGGAAAGCCCAAGAAATTACGCTTCTCAAGGCTTTTCCAATCCCACCTAGCCAGTGTACCTGCTCTGGACTCTGTTCTAGGCTAAAAGGTCCAGCTAGAAGGAAAAGAAAAGAGAAGAAGCTGGAGAAGCAAAGTCGCCTCCTCCATTTCTTCTGCTCTGCTGGCAACTGATGCATCCATGCTTAATGGCTTCCATCTAACAAAGGCTTAACCAAAAGGATTGCACCACAATAAGCTTTGAATTAAACAGTATTATGGTAACTATCTAAAGCACCAGTACCAGCTCCAATGATCATCACCAGCAAGTCAATATCACTGCATCATGTTTGACTACTTGGCAACCACATCAATGCCGGTGAGCTCTCAGTTTTAAAATATGTGCTTATTTTTGTCTGTTTCCATTTGTTTGTCATCGTGCTACGAAGTGAAGGGTGCACATTTCCACCAAGGATCAAAAGCACCTGTTATAAGCACAGTTACGAGCTGGAAATAAATGTTTAACTGACAGTGAGGGGAAATGTGGCAGCACAGGCCTGGCTCCAAGAAATTCCTGATTAAAATACATGGTGACCCATCCCATCCTACAAAATTTCAAGCTTAATTTCTCTTGCTGTTTCAAAAATAAGCCTTTTGCATCTCCACCCAGCATGGGATTTATATTTGAGCTTTCTTCTGGAGTGCTGATGCGTGTGTAGTACTCCGTTCTGTCCTCTGTGAGACACATCATAAACTTGGCTAACCATCTTCATGGTTGACGGGGGACTTGATTTCAGCATCTAGCACCATGCTGCCAGTCAAGTGCATTTTAAGATAGGATCTCAACAGGCCAGAGGGGCAGTGGGGGTGCACATGTTTTTAGCATGAAGGCTCAGATCCAATGCCCAGCATCTCCAGTTAAAGGATTTCAGCCAAGAGGGCTGGAAAACACCTTCTGCCCGATCCTTTGGAGAGCTGCTGAAAATCGGCGTTCACAATAGTAGGTCTCATGGAAAGCTTAGAAGACACACCAGGCAGGAATCTAAGCAAGGACTTAATCTCTGTGTAACGATCTCTCCAGCTCCAACAAGAGGCCATTTAGAGCATATGTTCAGATAGAAAACATTCTACAATATCCAGCATGCTCAGCTGGAAGAAAATAACCAGAATCTATGAGCTCACAGGTTCCCTTCATGCTGGGAACATTCCAATCAACTCACAATGACACATTTTCCTGTGCTAAGTCCCAAAGATCCAGCACCTCATACTCGTCCTCACACCTTTTCTTCTTGTTTAGTAACAATATCACAATTTCACATGTACATACATGGAAAAAATATACAGCCTGTCTCTCAGCTAGATAAAGTACAAGGAAGCAATGCTGGTACCTCTGTAAATAAAATGGAAATTCATGATGATAAAATCTAAGGGCAAGTCCATTCTTTCCTGGATATAGTTCAGAATCCATGCCGTTGTTCCCAGTGATGATGTGAGAAAGGCATCTAACAAGGTTTCCGCAAGGATTCTCCTCACCTCTACAACACCTGCAACCCACTCCCAATGGTCCTTCAACCTTCAGGGCAGAGGGGAAGGGGAAATGCACTGCATCAGGGGTTTCCTCCTGCTGGTGGAATGAGATAATTTGGTACAGCCCCAGGCATTCGTGAGAGGGGGGTGCAGGCTTTAAGCCTGCCACCACTACTGTTCAAGTAAATGCCAGCAATGCAAGCACTAACACACTCGTCAAAGTCTCAGCACGACACCCTCAAGTGCTTGACCATCAATTCGGACAGGCAGGGAGCCAAGATCAAGGGCTCTGGTCAATCATTATGCAACTGTCGAAGAAAGGCAGGCCTGTCCCCCAAACCCATGTTGCTGCCTTGAAATGACGCCCAAGCTGCAGGCTGAACACAGAGCTCCCTTAATGGCTAACAAGATGAGACCCTGGCTTTGAGGATGACTCAACCTTGAACCCTAACTTCATTTGGGCAATGAACTGAAACTATTATCAGTCCCTCACACGGCATGCAGCACCTTGAGACATGCACATGGTGGGCATGTCATGAGCGGAGCCGGCTAGAGCCAGGGGTCAGACTAGATAGCCTGGGAGACCCCTTCTGACTCGCTCTGATTCTATGTTTCTATGAGATGTCTGAACATTATTCTAAACTCAGTGCTTCATGACTTTATCTAACTAGTTTTGAAGGCCAGAAAGTTACTGGTTTAAATGACGGAAATTGTTATTCTCATTCAGGAAATAAGTATCAGATCTTGTGCAGTGCTGTGTAAATCCATGGAGCCCTGTAGCAAGCGAAAGCTGCACCGTTTAGAATCAGCAAAACTCTTCAAAGGGCAAAATTCGGACAAAGCAGCTTTTGGATACAATGTAGAAGGCAGAGACCCAGTCTGAGGAGAAGGGCTGAATGCGGTCAGTGCCCGCAACTCTGCCTGCTCGGCCCGTCTCCCCAGCTCTGCTTGCCTTCCACTACTGGGGATGCCAAAGTCTCCATGCACCTGACCTTCTCCTCCAATTATGAACCCAATTACGAACACACATGGTCTTAGAACAAGCGTTGCAGTTATAAGGGGGTGGAGGATGGACTCATCCATGAGCACCAACAAGGAAGAACCATCCATGAAACCTGCTTCCCAAAATCCCTTCCCTCATCTCCACCGGGTGGAGAGACAAAAGCAACCCCAAGTAGGAGCGAAGTAATGTATGGGGGCGGGGGCAGGTTCAACACCTGCTTTTGCTACTCTGCTTTCCACTTGGTTCGTCTGTTCCAGCCCACAAGCTATGGTGCTCCTGCATCCAGAAAGACCTTGTGCAATGTCAAAAGCAACCTTTGGTAAATCATTCTTCACGATGCATCGGAACGTCCTTTGCCAAACACGCCTCAAATATTTCAGATGAGCTGAGGTCAACACTTTGCTTTCTGATTAATTTTTCAAGGCAAGTACATCAAGAGTTACACATAGATTTTTACCTTCTTCTACTGATTTTACAAAGAGTCCAGAAGGGTTCTGATGTCCTGTAAACCCAAAGCTCCGCTGGCTGCCTGGTCTTTGGTTTATACTGATTCTCATATCGCTGTACTGATCCTGAAAAATAAATACATTAATAACGCATGATGCTGCTATATCTGGTATCACAGGCACCCACGTGAAGGAAAGTTTATATCCCCAGTAAGCAAACCGACTTGCAGCGAGGGCTTTCTAATTATCTACGGAATAGTTAGAAGTGCAGTAAAGAGATTACTGAGGGTTTTTCGTTGACAACTAATATCAAATTCTGCATTCACAATAACTATGCTAGATATTGTGCCTTGATGTCCAAGGCTCTTTTTAAACAGACAGAAGGTTAGTCTTTAATATGAGTATCATGAAAGACGTGTAGGTCAATTACTGGAAAAACGTGAAAATGGGACATTTTTGCTTCTCCTGAGTTCTGGGCATGAGATAATCCACCTCAAAGGAGAAGCTGAGCCAGGAGTTTCCCCTTCATTTGCTTTGGCTCTCCTTGTGCTGGCAGAAGTGCCATTTATGTCTCTCACACACAAAGACACATCGCTCACCGGTCTACCAGGTGCTGAAGTTCTATTTTGAGGCTTAACCATTCTAACTTGGGTCCTTCAAGACCACCTGATGACTTTTTAAAAAATGGTATGCTTCTGTGATGACCCTTTGCGTGCCATGGGGTCCAAAGAAAGCTGAAGGGTGGAAGGGCAAGTTTTCTCAATGTGCTGGCAGCTGAGCTAAGGGGCTGCTTAAAGGTTCCCGTGGCTGCCAGAAGACTTGGGCAAAGGACACCAAGATCCGAGGCGAAACACTGGATGCAGAAGCTTCATTGCGCTGATTGCACACTCAAATCCAGCTTGGGAGGGAGAAGAGGAGGCCACCAGTGAAGCTACGCGTTTGCTTCAATCCTGGCATCATTTACTAATTTTTATATATCACATGGGAAGAGAGAGGAACTCACAGGGAAAACGCTTTCTGACCTGAACACGTGGGCTGGTTTCTTCCACCACAGGAGGAAGCAGAAGGGGAGTTATGTTCACTGACTCCTTCCTCCCCTTGCACTGTCCTGCTCCGTATTCCTTATTATTTATTTTATTTATTTATTAAAACATTTCTATGCCGCCCCATTCGCCGAAGCCTCGGGGCGGCTCACAACATAAAATTAAAATACAAGAAATAACAATATAAAATAAGTCACCCTGGCCAAGGTTATTATTCAAGGTTCCCCAGTCATCTGGAGTAGACCACCAAGGAGCACAGGAGGAACCAGTGACAATTTCCCCCTGTTCACAAGACCTCTGGAATCGGGTACAAAGGCAGTCCAAAACCTCTTGATGCCTTTACAACACGATATTTAATCACGGTTTGAGTGGAAGCCCCGGTGTTGGCAGCTAATCTGCTCCCTCATGTTCTGTGGCCTGAACTTTGGCTAAGGCAGCAGCCACCATGCTTTTGTTCTGGACAGATGCTATGGAGCTTTCCTAAGCAGCACTGGCAGGCAAGTAGGGTAAACAACGTACGGGAGTTGTTCATACCTTTTGCTTAGCCAAACCATGCTTAATGATTCAAACGTACCACTCTGAGTTCCAGAGACATTGCTGTTGTGACCAGGGCATGTTTTTGGCGAACCTGCTCTAAATTTCAATTGAATTTCATTTCATTAACTTACTACCTTTTCCTATTGCCCAATAGCTGAAGCTTTCTGGGTGGTTTACAAAGATTCAAACCTTAAAATGCATCCTAAAATATAGATAAACATATTTATAGGTAGCAGATACTGAAGAAGAAACTCGAATACTCTTCTGCTAGCCAAATCACAGCCATTTAGCCATGGCTAAGGGATCTTTAGAAGGCCAGATACTGAAGATGAAACTCAAATAATCTGGCCACCTAATGAGGAGGAACAACTCCCTGGAGAAGACCCTGATGCTGGGAACAATTGATGAAAAAAGGAGAAGGGAACGGCAGAGGAGGAGGTGGCTGGATGGAGTCACTGGGCAGAGGGTGTGAGCTTAAGTGGACTCCAGGGGATGGTGGAGGACAGGAGACTCTGGAGGAATGTTGTCCATGGGGTTGTGATGGGTCAGGCACGACCTTGCGACTAAACAACAATATATAGATAGCACTCACACACACAAACAGACTGTATATCCAAAACACCTTGTAACTTATAAACATAGATTCTACAACAACCAATCAACAACAAGAAATATCCAGGACTTGATTAAAAACCTCATCAACCTCTCTGGCTGTCAGAAACCTGAGAGGAAGAAGCTTGGTACTGGAAGCATATCAATGCTGGTGCCAGGCGGGCCTTATCAGGGATATAATTCCATAATGGGGGCTACCACTGAGAAGGCTCTTTGCTTTGCTGCCTCTTTCTGAGCCTCCGTGAGAGGTGGCATTTAGAGGAGGGCCTTGAATGAGAAACATGAATTCATGCCGGGACAGCTGTTTTATGAAGAGCAGCAATTCGCAGCCACACAAAATTTTATAGGACAACGAAGAAGTGGCTGCATGAACTTTTCCAGGCACCTTGTCAACATCCTTAAAGTCTAGTAACTGAAACTCACCCAACAAAACTCGCCAAGGCCGTGCTCTGGAGAGCTGAGCTGATTTACCTCTTGTAACACTGGGTGCAAAAGACTGCATTTTGGAAGTGTCTCGCAAATGCATTCCAGCAGGCCTCAAACAGATTGGTGACACACTGGGAGAGTTCCACAGTTGTCATAGAGACCACCTTATCTAGCGCATAAAATCACAGGGATAATAGCAACATATATAAACAACTTAGCAGCAAGACAAAGTGGGCTCACAACTGAAAAGCTTTATGAGAAGAATGTGTTGGAAATGTGGGTCAAGAAAAAATGAAGATAACCGAGCGGATTCAGAAAACTAGAATGATTTCTTGTTGTGACATTTCCTCAAGCTTTGCACAAACAACACTAAAAACATATTTAAAACACACACACTAATAATAAGTGCGCGGTACCTTGTCTAAGCAACAACAACAATTCGAGTCTCAGGGTATTATTTAGTGCTTTGAATGAGCACCGGCTCAAATTTCTGCGTCCCAGAGGCTCATTAAGCAGAAAACAACCATCAATATTCCAGTAGGCATGTCGCCTGTTCAACTATGATACCCAGCAATCAATAATTTCTTTGGCACTTCAACTTGCAGCATAAGCTGACACACGTACAGGCAAAAATTTTGCCGCGAGAAAACAAACAAGGGAGGACTGTTTTCTTTATGTCAGCTTCCCACAGGCACCTGGCTCACCTTTGTTGGTAACTGAACACTGCAATTTCACCGTGGAGACAAATATGAAACTGAAGAAGTGCAAAAGCACAAAAAGCTACCTTACGTCGAGTCAGATTAAGATTGTCTAACTCAGTGAGGTCAACATGGCCTGGCACCGCTTCTCTAGGGTTCTAAGAAGGACCTCACAGCCCTACCTGGATCAAACCTGTGCCCCTTTGCAACGCATCGGCTCTTCCAACAGTCACTCACCATAAAAAGCAGCTTTGCTGCTACTCCAACCTCATATTGAGCAAGAGAATTCAACTAAATTAAACATGAATGAGTGGCTTGAAATCTGCTAGTTGTTCTTTGACTGAGAATGGTACAGTGCCTGCACTCCATGTTGAGCTTTTAGGAGGAGGAGGAGGAGGAGGAGGAGGAGGAGAATCAAGGCTTCTTCAGAGCAAAGAACAACTGATTTCAATGAAAGAGCGACTCCTTCAGTGATGCGTGGGTGAAAGGAATGAGGGATGTTGCTAGGTAGCCAGTCCTCGTGGCTCCTGGCTTAGACATGCTTTGAATCCTAGAGATGAGTAAGACCTGACTATTCAGTGCTAAATGTTTCTCATCTGCATTGCTAATTCCTGTCTGTATTCTACTGGCTGGATATGGGATACAAAGGTCAGCTGCTCAGGAAGGAGAAATAAATCAGATTATTTTGGAAATCTCTCAGCTAGCTTCCATCATGTAAGAAAATGGGATGTTCCATTGAGCACACAAGTCAGAAACGTAGCCTGCAGTTCAAGGCATTTTTACCATTCCTCCCCACCCCACATGAAGCCATCTATATACATGGGAGAGCATGCAAAACACATTAATCCCCTTGGGAATTCTGGCAATGCAAAGTGCATAAAATTCTCGTGGGTCTTATGGACAATCCAGCAGAGCAGTAGGTTGTGTCTCTTCTCCACTTTCTTCCCCACTTGGTTCCCTGGTAGTATCACAGAAAACACGGAAGGAACATTGAGGAAGCAGGATGCGAGAGGCTGAAATGCAGCTCCGTCGGCTGCTGTGAACCGCTTCCTCACCTGACGCTTCTGTGGATTCCGGCAGAGCAATCCTGCCCTCCAAGAATCAGCAGAATACTGGATGGGGAACCTGGAGTGGGAGCCCAGCCCAAGGCAACCTGGTACCTTCTTCTGCCAATGGACATTGGCTCTTTTGCCGCTCTGGCCAGGAGACCCTTGTAATTTCCAACCTGATCATCGCTTCGCATGTCATTTGGATTCAGGTGACGCGTTAAGACTGGTGGATTGTTTTGACGCTACAGCAAGCCATGGCCAACTGGGGTGGTTCACAAACCATCCCAAGGTGGATAATACACCACCCCATGGGAACAGTGCTGAGTTCAGAGAACATTTCACCCACCACGGCTTCAGCCCTGTGAGTTGTTTCATTCAAAGCTACAAAAGCTGTGCATTAAGAGAGACGCTTTAGAATGCACAGGGTGAGTTTAATGCAATCAGTTAAGCACTTCCTGCCAGGGGGTCAAGAATGCTGCAAGAACAATGTGCATGAGCAAAGCAACCCTCTGGCCACTAGACAGCGTCTGGAACACCACAGGATAGGCAGAGCCACAGGCATCATGGAAGAGATGCAATTGTCCGACCGTCCCCTTTCCACCCTTCCCTATCTTTTCTGAGCTTGCTGCTGTGACCTCAGAAAGAGGGGCAGCTCAAGAGATTACCACGGCAGCTGGGAACAGGAGAGGGGAAGAGCCAATCCCTTCCATCACATGGACAACAAGGCTGCCTTTGTTTTTCCCTAATGTTCCCGTTGCTGATAAACCGCTTACTCCATTGCTGCTGCCCTGTTCTTCCTTTTGCCCTTGCAGCAGCTTCCTTCCACCGCAACCCATCTGCCAAAGACGGATCGCATCTGACACTGGCGAGAAGCTATGCGTACCCTCGCTGTGTGACTCTGGCGCACTGTTGGCATTGCATACAACACCGAGGTTACTCTCTCGAGACTCACCTGCACTGCTGAAATCCCAGTCTCTGCTATGCTTCTCCTTGCTTCTTTAGACTGAACTGAGTCATAGCTGCCATGATGCTCCGATTTAGAAGCCAGATGATTAACATCCACAGCTTTGCTTGCAGGAGAGCTATTCTCCGCAGCGTGATGCTTCATTCCATCCTTGTCATCCACGCTGTGTAGATCACTTGTGGACTGGCTCTGTCCACCTTCTGGCTTGGAAAATGAATTGCTGATGAAGGTAAGTTGAGTTCTCTTGGACACATCAATTTCTCCATTATATTTGGGAGCATCATCCATCTAGGAGAAGTGGATAGTTTTAAAAGACACATGTTCAAAATTAATGTCAACACAAATTACAGTAAATGCTTACGCTACTAATCCTCCTGCTGATTACACAATGCTTTGACATCTATGCAGGAGAAGGTGAATGTTCTTGCATGCATTAGCATTCACACAAGCAGTAAAGAAGATGAAAGTGTTTACCGTATGTGACCTGGGAAGTGTTGAGATTCCTCTTGAATGGAGACCAAAGGGCCTTGGAGTAACCACAGAGGTTAACTTGGCAGTATTGCTTCTCTGGTAGCTTCTTGGGAGAGAAGCTGAAACCTGAGCCGACCCAGTTTGTGAATGGTAAGCCAACAAAGGAGGTGTGCTCTTGACTTCTGTCATGCTCTTAGCCGGAATTTGAGTTTCAGTCCTTGCACAGTTCTCTGCTTTTCCATCACTCTCTTCGCTATTTTCTTCACTCTTCTTCATGTAGTGAACAGGATTATTTTCAACAGGGTAACTTCTTGAGGATATGATGGGCACGTTCTCGTCACTAAACACGTCGTCACTGGAGGAATACCTTTGGCTGCGTTCCACAGGCAGCTGACTGGTGCTATAGAAGCTTTGATCTCTGTTCTCCCTAGGGACAAAAGTAAAAACAGACACCGATGACCTAAGGGACAGGTGGCTTTCAGTCACCACTCTGCTATTACATGAATTCTATTGTGAAGGCAGAACAATTTAAAAGAAGTATAGCTACTAGACAAGACTGATGTATGCACTCCGAAAAGAACTTGCATCCCTTTCTCTTCCCACCAACTCTGTACACAGAATTTTAGGATGCTAAACAATCCCATAAATTAATAATTTTTCTTGGGTAAGTTTGAGAAGGCATCTCCTATGGCTAGATGCCTGATTTAATGGTGATTATCCGTTGTGGTTCATTGAAGTCTTTTCAAATTGAACAGAAACATTGGTATAGGTATCAGCCTTAAGAGTCTATGCTATCAAATACTATATAGTGAATGTTCTTCATTCACTGTATCTTAAGAACACATTCATTTGTTCATGATTCCACTGGAACACAATGGATTCAGGAGAAGGCTATGCTTCTGAACAGGACAAGAAAACTGGTTATAGATAAGCAAGACTCTATCATTCATTGTTTAAAAGACTGAATCTTTTGAACTAAAGTACTGAACAGAGAGCCCAAATGCCGTTATCCCTCCCACCCTCACTTAGAAGTCACAACACAATCAACAAATCTTAGTTTCAAAAATGACATTTAGGATGTGAGTGCAAATTAAACGAACTCTTCTACACAGTTTAGAGACTAGAAATATAGCTAAGTTGAAAATTAACCCAGTCAAGATTGTCCGTAATTTGAGCTTTACGTTACAGTGCTGTATGCTGTTTACTGACATTACCTGTCTTGCTGCATTTCTCTCAAAGATTTGGTACGTCTTCCAGTACTCTCAGAAGCTCTCCGCTCAATTTCTTCTCTCTCCTCCTTTTTCTTTTGCAAATCAAAATTATAACTCTTGCGCTTGCTTTTCCATTTTGCCAGATCCTAAACAGAAAGGACACAAAATGGCACCGTGCTTTCTGCAGCCCTTGGCAAAGGAGCCTCCCCGGCAAATGCTCAAGTATCTCATTATCTATCCAAGACTGCTCATTCTGACTGGATGCTCAGGTGTCCTACTTTCACTTTGCAGGTTTAGTGTTCCTACATTCTCAAATATCTTCCTGCACAATTGCCTTCACGCAATGTGGGCAGTGCCTTGGATGGAATCTAATGCTTCCAATTAAAAAGATTTTACTAGTATACTCATCTTAAGAAAAAAAAATCAATCATAGCATAATTATTTATCCTAACCTTTCACGACAATTCTTCATGGTGTTTTAATGTTAAAGATACTTCTGCTCAAATGAAACAAGAACAGAAACTGACTTGACAAACCAACTTCCTCTTGAGGAAGGACTAGTATTCTAGGTGTTGTTTCAATTATTCTTGGCAGGTAAAAGAATAATTTGAGCTGGCACAACCCAACGTGCATCTACCTAAGACATCCAAGATGAAGAGGGAACAGGCATCTCTTGAAAAATCTTTCAAGGATAGGAGAGAATATACTCGGAGGAGGGCCTTCTCTTCTGTGGCACCCCAGCTATGGAATGCGCTCCCCAGAGAGGTCCACCTGGCACCAATGTTATATGCCTTTCAGTGCCAGGTCTACTCGTTTTTATTTTCCTGTAATTTTAATGTTAATATTTTAACTATGTTTTATGCTCAGTCATGGATTATTATGGGTTTATATGTATTTATTGGGTGTTCGGTTTGTAAGCCATCCAGAGGCATGCAACATAATTGGACGGGATTAAAAATACCAAACAAACAAATAAAAATCTGACAGAAGGCACTGGATCCCCCTATCAGCAATGATAGTCCCATGTTCCCAATTGCATCCTTCTTCCATTCACCTCTGGTCCAGGACAAAAGAAGCAGAGAGAAAAAATCCTGAGATGAAACACAGCAATTTGCCTCTTCTCCCCAAGGCAGCGGTCCAGTCTGGCCTAGCCCTGTGCTGCCCTGAACCCTCAAGGATGGAGCGAAGATAAACTTTTTCCTCCCTGTTACCACTATTAAAATAAAAGGGCCAGATGTGGATCTGTGGAAGCCTGGTTATACAGGAGTCTAAAGCTGCTAGCGTATAGCACTAGGAATAATCGCACTTAAGCAGTCAAAATAAATAAATGAAATGGGTCTCACCTGTTCTGCTCACCTGAAGGCAGAAGGTTAAAAGAAAACACAGAGTTCAAGCCCCCGTTTATCCCTCATTTGGTAAACTGGCAGTACGAAAGCAAGAATACATGGGTTTTAAATTATTCTTTCCCAAGACAAGTTCGGAGAATTCAGGTAAAAGAACACTCTGGGACAAATCTGTGGACATAGGAGGTGCTCAGCACTTCTGCCTACCTGCCCGTTGGGTTGGGCCAGCTCAAGTGATGCTTTTACCTGCCAACCATAACTGAAGCAGCACCTAGAATACTAGTCCTTATACAACAGGAACCTTCCCGCAATCTCCTGCACTGGGCTTGTGTTATCTCAGCCATCAGATTCAGGGTCTTTGGCCGAGCAAAACTACAAGTTACCTTGGTGAACAAAGTGATGAGAGCAACATGGTGGCATTCCTTCTCTACTTGCCTAAGCATCCAACAAGCATAAATATTTTCCAAAAATGGAAACTGTCTTAAGCAGACCCTCCAAATTTACGCTGACTGGTTAACTTTTTATTACAGGAACTAGTATTTGACTTTGCTTTAAGGCTGCTGGCTCTTCCCTTCACTGGATGAGTTCAAGGCATCCAGTCAATGAAGTTGTTCAAGAGGTGCTCCCTTCTGGCTTTCCCCACTTTATTGAGGACAAGTCAACTGGAACAGTTGCTTTTTCTGCCACCCACATAACCACATGACATCCTGAATCAAAGTATTTACCTGAGGGACAAAAGAAGGTATGATGGAAGCCTATGCCAAGTCAGAAGTAGGCACTAATAAAGCAGGCAATGGAGGATTTGGGGGTGAAATGCGGTTTTGCTTGCACTGACTAGTTATGATACTGAGAACAGGCGTTGACAATGCACCTGGTAAGTCCAGCTTTTCTTTTAGAAGTGGTGGGTGGGTAGATGTGAAGCAGAACCACCATCCCTTGGCCCCTCCTCCCTGTTCCTTATGCCTCATGAGAATCGCCCTCCACCGTGCTGCTCCTTGTCCCCAAAGCCACAAAGTTGCCATGGAGGCAAATAATTCTGGGAAGGATATTTTTGAGAAATTCAACTGTGGGGAGGAATTATCACCCTCTCCGCTCCAATCCCAGTCCTGAACGGAATGCTCCCTTTTTCCCAGCTACTATTTTTAAAAGGAAAACTGGCCCAGCATAATCAAATGTCAGATGTAGAGGATGGTCTGGGACTAAGATATCCAAGAAATTGTGTGCATTCCTCTTATAAGCAGGAATGTCCAAGTGCTACTATCAACTTTCGAAAAACATATTGCCTTATTTGCATGCTAAGCCAAAATAGAAGACCACAAAAATGTGCAAGCTTTCAAGATCTCCTTGCTCATTTTTGTTGTCCTAATAGAGACAGTATGCTAATATCAAATAAAACACGACTCTCTTTGCTTCTTACCTATTTTAGTTTAGTTTCTTTCTTGCTGTATAATATGCCCAGAGGCACTGCAGAAGACAAACAACTTTAATCTACTCACATTTTGCCATTGCTCGTCTTGTTTTTGTAGCTGATCCCTTATTTTCTGGAGCTCCTCATAACGCAGCTGACGATTTGTTCGCAGCTCCTCTGCACTGACATCGGCCAAGGATTTACTCCTAGAAGCGGACACATTATTTTGAACTTTCAAGCTGCCCATTGCAGAATAATGACTCTTTGGAAAGGAAACTGGCCAATCCAGTATATAAAATAAATAAATAAATCTGTATTAAATCTAGAAAGAGAAAGCTGGGGGTGAGAAACGGGAAATATTGTTGATCCTCTGCCGTTTATATTCAATTCCCAATGGTGATAAGGTAAGAAAATGTTTCGCAAGCCTTTTCAAATTTCTGTGCCAATATTTAAAAGTCTAAAAAGGCCTAAATCTGATGCCAAGAAGCAGGGATCATGGGCCTGGAAATTATTTCATTGAGGAAGTAAATGTTGCTGCATTTGCAGAACATGCTTCTTCCGCAAACTTCTCTCTGTAGCCAGGAGTGCCACTCGCCTGAGATAAGCACCACTGCCCTATCCTAAACAGGAACCAGATTTGGCTCTGGGTTTTTTACCGTAAAGTAACATGCATGAAACTAATAGCAACTGTGGAACAACGGAGGGGCTGCATTCTCCACACACGAGGCATGCAAGCTTCCGAACTCAGATGCAGACGTGCATCCCGTGAACAGGCCTCAGTGCAGTGGCTTTTGCTGCCGGGCACACCCTGCGTTCCACCTGGACAACTGCTCTCAGCCATCTTGATGAAGTGCCACGGACGGGAAGGGAAGGAGGCTGATGAGCTGCCGGCTATGGCATAAGCCCTGGGCCCTGGCCGCCTCCTCTCCCCTGCAGTACACCGCTTTTTCTCCTCTTCAAGCCTGGTTGCCAACTTTGTAGGGCCAAGGGATGCGATTCCTTCGAGCCAGCCTTGTGGCTCTGAATAACCTTATGGCCTCCATGTTTGGAGGCCATAGGAATGCCCCTTGAGATAGTGTTTTCATATCTGAACTTAGACTTTCAAAACTTATCATAATAAACAAAATGCATCATAAGCAACTTTTTTCCAAAATTTATTCTCTGTCCACCCTTCCCCTAGCGATTTTCTCCATTTGGTACCCAGCGGGCCGGACTATAAAACCTAATGTCATCTGATGATGCAGGGAGTTAGGTTAGAATGGCAATCTTAGGAAGTCCGATTAAGCCAAGCAGGATTTGCTATGGGTAAACCTGCTTAGCGTTTATAAAATACTAGTAGCATTAACTACGTCCCAGTTATCCTCTGCCACCTGCCACGACTGGCTTTACTGTACAGAGAAAACTTTAAGAAAGATTTTAAAAAGCTAATGCATGTGTACCTGAAATGAATTTTTTCCAATAAGCTTTTAAAAACGAGTCAGATAGAGAGTTATATATAACAAAGACCTTCCCTCTCAGCTTTGTAACTAATCACTTGGTTAAAGCAATGGAAGGCCTAAACCCATTATATTTACTTATCTTGAAGCAACCGGAATTTTGCCTTAAGCGTGCAATAAGCTTTTATTTTCCTGCTGATTTTGGCAGGACCACTCCTTGTGGATTTATTAGAATACTTATTGCAAGTCTGGTCTATTCCAAAAGCTTTTGCCAAAAAGCCAAAAGAGACTGTAGGGTTAGGAACCCTAAGATGTTCCAAAACACTTCTGCACAGTCTCATCTACAATACAATGTTCTGCTCTTTAAAGGCAACCTGCATGCAAACATTATTCTAAAGCAAATACCAGGCGTACTTGAGCCAGGATTCCACTGTAACCATGCTCTGCATTTTTCCATCATTTAATGTTCGGGGATCCCATCCTATGTGTTTGCAAGTGTATGTCATCTTGCTTTATATTGCCTTCCAAAACTTACGGTGATTATAACCAAATCAAGCAATGAAACTGCAACAGAAAGTGTTGCAGTGCCAGGACAGGCTTTCATTGGGGCTCCATTCAAGCATAAGGGAAAGTGCCTTCCTTCCCTTTTGTAGCTCATGTTATGTTAGATGGGAGCCAGAATAGCAGCCATAAATGGCTAGAATTACATATAGGTAAATACTGAATTATTGCTATTCTAATAGCTGAATCTTCTGGACCCAATTACAACAGTCTTAAGTCTAGTTATCTCCAGTGACACTCAGTTTCATGGCCAACCACTCACCTAAGATCAATTTGGCCCACCAAGGATCCCAATATGGTCGAGACTTCATCTTCCTTACCCCAACCACAAATCATTGAGTGGTTTCCTAGCTTTTCTGCAGTTGATTTTCCCCCTTTCTAAAAGGGTATGTATTTCCTAAGGGTTACTTACTGGTAGTTAAGAGAGCTAAAACTGACATGCATTGGCATTATAGCTCTTCATAACACTGGACTGTGGCCCAGGAGCTTACAAAAACGGAAAAGTTCCAAGATGGAATTTGCCCTTTGGTCTGAAAGAGAGACTGCATCCTTGTTCTTATGCAAAAATGAGTGGAGGAGCTGAGACACAAATTTGTGTTGCCAGTGGGACTGCTTTTTTGTATAACCACCGCTGTAATCTACCTTTGCAATCCATGTCGCAGGATTTCCACTATTTCAGAAGTTCCTTGGAACTGGCAAAAGTCAGCAAGGAAAAACTATCATTAAAAACCGCCCCACTTCAGTCTGTATTCCAAGTGGCTCTCCTGCATTACCAACTGCAACAAATGTTAATATTGCTCACTCCTGTAAGTCAGAATGGTCCCCTTGATCAAGGAAAGCGAGCCCGAAGACCTGAAAAGGGAACTGGTCTGGATAGCAACTTGTAGCTGAAAAACTATATCGTTGTAGCTACATCGAGCTACTATATTACATTATGTACCCTGTTTTGAAACACGTATTATTAGTTCCTCAAGATGGCTGGTCATCAGCCTCTCTAGCAGGCAGTAACTGGCTTTCACCAGCATCCATCTGGTGCAAAGCTGAGAATGCAGAAGCAGAATTCTAGCATGCTGTTTGGATGGCGCCACATGCAAGGCTCCTAGCGATGGAACATCAAGAAGCCAGACAACAGCGGCCCATTTCACTTCTCTTGCCATACGTGCAGCCCTTCTGCCATTCAGAGCTTTCCCAAACGAACCGCTAAAATGGCTATACGAACCGGTCAGCATGCGCCAGCTGTGCCCGAGAGGTAAAGCGGCATGCGCACGTGCACAAGCCTTCCGCCTGCATTTTAATGCAGATGCATTGACCAGATGGACCAACGGCTGCATATTTTAGGATGCTTACGTTCCGCCATGCTTTGACCATCAGACTTACCCATGCTCATCAGAAAGCTTTTGAAACAGCCTGAGAAAATCAGAAAACCAAAACAGACCCATATTACCCATAGTATTTTCCCCATATGTAGATATGACAACATTATGTTCAATACACCAATGAAAACAATGAATAAACTTCAAAAGGAACATGAGCATGAAATCCTATGACCATCTGAGAACTGAAATATTCGACTGAACTTTATGAGAACAATTTGAATTCTGAAATGTAAACCTCCACACATGTGGTAACTTACGCCAATATGCTTCTTTGTAGTTTGGTATGGAGCAGAATACGCATACTCGCCCTTAAATTAACATTGCAAATACTAATATGAAGGGTTTCACACACACTTAAGTATAGGTTTTATGCATTTAATATATTGGTGAATACAAAGCAGGTATCAGAAGCTTAACACATTAATTGCAGCTTTAAGTATAACTTGTATTTAGTACTGGTTTCTATAATGATCTTACAGAACTCTCAGGAATAGGCACAGGATAAAATTTTAGGGTAACCATCCAGTCCTTTGCGTTACTTACAATGGATAGTGCTTTCTGCATACAGGAGAGAAGTCACTGAGTGATAAACTACAAGTAGCAGAATTCCACATGCAAGAAGGGAGGAATCAAGGATTTGGGTGACTGAAATGTTTAATTCCAATTATTTCTTTAATTGTGTTAAGCTTAAGCACATGATCAACTTGCATCTACTTATTTTTCAATGATACATGCAAAATTGGTGCTTCGGAACAAGTGAAAAGCATATGATGTTTGTTGAAAGACTTAATGAATGATCCAACTAGAATGAAATGGATGAGGATAGTTCAAAATGAGAAACACTTTACCAGATGAACATAAGAAACCTCATTAAGATTGACCAAGGTTTGTCTCTCCCTGAAGACAGCTCTATGCTCACTAGAGTCCAAACTTCTTCTGAAAAGGTTGTAAAATCCTCCCACATAAAGGCTAGATTTCAGTGGCTGGATTGGGACAGAGTTACCATTAATATTTTAGTTGGAAACAGATATATGAATATATATCACAGTGCTCACAGCCTCTGGGATAGATGAGGCCAAAAAAAGCAGTTAATGGAAATGTCATTGCCTCTTTACTCTCAAGCACATGAGTCCCCCAAATATTTTGAGGAAGGAATTTAGAAACAAGGCTGTAAACTTCCAGAAAATGTTTGGGTTTCAAAAACAAGAGGGAAATTGTGCCCTATTAACTAGCAGCAAGAACGCAACTTCCAGAAAGTCTTAATAGGTCAATGATATGATCGTGGGATTGAAGAGGTAAGAGGAGCACTAACTGGGGACAGATTTTACTGGAAAGATCCAGTCCAAAGGGCTGCACAGTTCAATTCCAACTCTCTCCATGCCAGTTAAGCTGCCTTTGCTCTGCTGATGTGCAATTGTGGCTAGAAAAAAGAGGGATGTGCTCCAAAACGGGCATGAAACTAGTGTGTACACAGGCAATCTCTTCTGATGACACAGTCATTGACTGCAGAGAAAGCAGACAACCAGGGAAGCCAATCACACACCCCTGTTCCCCCACCTCATCCATTCGTGTAGTTTCCAACAGCGCATTTAAGAAGCTTTATACGTCCACAAGAATATTTTAGAAAAGGACTTAAAGTTGATTAATGAAAACCAATGTTTTATTTCCATTTAACCATGCTCATCAAAATATGTCTGTTTCCAAGAATGTCCACACACAGATACCAACAAGTTCCAGCCATCTGGTATCTGTCACCTGAAGGAATTTCCATTACTAGTCCTTTATAAGAAGGAAATTGTATAATCTTGGAAGTTGTATTAGTCCAGTGGTCAAAATAGTCCAGGGAATGTAGTATGAAATTCGTAGTGTTGATGGGTTTGATAATCAACACAAGAACTTATGAGACTATACACAAGACACAAACAAGTTGAAGCTTCACGTCAAGATGCATGCATGGGTGAAAGCAAGATGCCACTTCTCTTCATTACAAGCCTTACTTAGGAATATTCTGATGCAAGCACAATCCATGCATAGCTTCAAGCTGACCTTTCAACCATTTGGCGTTTCTTGTGTCGGATTTTGCTGGCTTCCCTGATTGCCTCCCATTTTTCCATATCGTCTTTGCTGCACGGTCCAGGAGAGAAGCTAACTGGCTGCACATGGACTCCTACGTTAAGCAGCTCAATCTTGCGAGTCAGCATGTCATCTTTCTTTTCTCGTGAAGATGGAGATAAAATCTTCCCACCACTTTCTTTCTCTGCCTTGGTGGTTTTCTCAAGCAAGCAAAGAAATTTGGCTTGGATTTCTGGTGGGAGACTCCAAGGATCCGGAAAGAGAGCAGGCTGATATCTATCTGGGGCTCCTGATAATGGCACTTCTTTTTTCCATAGCTGAGCTTTACGAACAGTCAAATCATCTTTTTCTAAATCTGGAATTGCAGAGTCACCATTTCTGGGCTGGAGAACTATCTCCCCCTCTAAGCGAGGGCCTTCTTTGCAGCTCTTTCTGAGATACTCAAAATCTTGAAGCATCACTGGATTCGTGTGGAAAGCACCCGTCTTACGGACAAATAAATCATCGTTTTCCAAGTCTGGATAAAAGTCTCCATTTTCATTGTTTGTTTGGTCACTTCCAAGCCTAAAATAATTCTTTGTTCTGCATGTTACAAGCCTGGGCCCAGAGGCCGGATCAGTCTTGGTTCTAGTTTCAGAGGACAGGAAACCATCTGAATATTTTTGCAGTGCCCGGAGAAACAAAAACTGACTGAGATAAAAAAAAAAAAACATACACACACAAAAATAAGAGTTGTGTTAACCAGAAGATATGAAGACCTAGTTCTCATTGAGATAATACATTTGTTTCTGGGCTCTGCTACTGCAGTCATTCGGTGGGAGCAAAATTTCTTCCTACCTATGTTCACATTAGGAGATAGTACGTGAGGTGAAAGGCAAAGGCAAACCCCCTTTTCCCTGACGTACAAGGGTATTTGTGTGCAGATAAACGAGTCTTTTAAAAGTACTTTAAGGAGCATTCACGCAGGTCCACCCCCAGTTGCGCTCTGAAGTGGTATGACCCGAGAGATGCCTGCCATCTCAGTGAGAACTTGACCTGAACCATGGACCCAAAGGATGCATAAATTCTGCCACAGAAAAGCACACACACTGCAACACTGAACTGCAGCAGGTGGGGACAACATCTGTACTCCAGAATAGCGGGAAAGCATGCCAGTCGCTGCAAAAGACAGGAGAGCATGGACTAGCACACAAAAAAATCCATTTGACTTTAGTAATATGAATTCAGTGGAATAACAGAGACGTATGACATAAAAAGTTAAAGGCACTTTCCCAGATTAACTTTGCATTTTAATTTTAGCAAGCAGCATTTTCCTCGACACACAGGATAGTACGATTCATGCAGTTGTAGCAACCTTGGCAAATCGGACGAACAACTACTTTTATCTTCTGCAGCTTGTGATAATGGTTTTGCGGTAGATTCGGCTGCTTGTTTAAGGTAGTGTGGGCCTTCGCAGCCACTGTTATCCAAGCTACCCGTGAAGATATTGATTGGCTGGATTCTTGCAACATCATCTTCAGAATCTGTGCTTTTACTGCACAGTAGCACGTAAGTGGAGAAGGGAAAAAAACAAGGAATATGTAAGTTCTGGCACCTAATAGCGTGCAGTAATCTAGTCCAATAAATAGCTTAAAATAACTGTCGTACGAAGAGATCAACACAGCATAGAAAAATTATTCCAGTTCCAAGGGAAGAGTCAATGAAGGTTTTTACTCCCTATCTCCCACCATGCTGCCATCAAAATAGTGCACTGATTTGAGCCAGTTAAAAATCTATGTTAAAAAGTACCGGTTGGGTTGGGAAAGATCATGCACAGTGACAAACCTGAATCCTTGAATCTCCTTATACCATTGTTTGGAAAAAGATATCCTCTCTGCTTTCTTCCAGTGCAACGCTTCCCCAGGAGCCCAAGACTTAGGAAGAAACTTATGGGAGGAATCTTTTATGTTTGAGGTCGCAGCTTTTATTTTGCGAACATAAAGGTCATCTATTTCAATGTCTGGAGTGCTCATTTCCTCCTCCTCCTCCTCCTCAAAATAGCTGGAGAAGTCTGAAAGAATGTTAGTTGCTGACTGGCGTTCCATCATTTGCTTCGTAGTCCTTCTTTGGTTACTGCACAAAACATCCAGTCACATTATACTTTTAGAAAAAACCTGTTGTCAACTACACACCATTACTTTTATCTAAAATGAAGCAAACTTCATGAAGCAAAATTTATTTCCTAAGCAGAAAACATCATAACAAAGTAAGTACACAGTTATTACTGAACATTTGACCAAAATGAAATGTTACGAAGTAAATGCTAACAAGAACGTATGCAGAGAACAATTTTGTGTGCACTGTTTTTAAAAGGTTCTGGCATTAGTGTGCAATATTTACATAAAGATTTTAGTAGCTTAAGGAATGAAGTATCTGCATTTCCTCTATTGGACCTCTGATCGTTTCTTTGAGCACAGGAGGTTAATGGGCAAGGAGGAAGGCATTTTGAGCATCACACAGAGAAATGCTGCTTTGGGACATGAAGAAATCCAGGTGCATCAAGAACCTCTACTTTGCCAGGTCATCCATAACCTTATCAGGCAGTTTTCCTTCCATCAACACAACTGGAGCATAACTCATCATTCTGATAGTTCATCTGTGGGGAAACTAGACAGATGTACAAGTCTACATTCTGCTCTGCTATTCTACTAGAAACTAGAATGAGTTCTTCATTGGCTTGTTGAGATCAGCCAAAATTGAGATAAAGAGGCAGAATGGAATCAATTCAACATTTGACCAGTGCTGTGATGACAACAACACAAGGTACATCTTCTTAAGCTGGAATCCAGGACAGAAAGCGTGCTTTTGTGCACCGGCTCTTGGTATTACAGTGAGGTAGCTTGTTCGTCTTGGGCAATATTTTTAAAAAACACAAAGTAAGTGCTAAGTGATTTATACTCATTTCAAAACAGCATGTGTTGTACATAGATAGAGCCCATTTCCTTTCATACCACTGGTGTCAGGTCAGGATCTACTTTGGATCCTAAGGTGTACTTATCCAAAGGAAATTTCTTTCATCTCTGTTTCCTCTCTTGTCCCCTTCCAAAAGACTGTCTAGAGAGTTGAAGGTGTTCCTGAACAATGTGAGACGGGGCAGTAGGGAAGTGAGAATCTCCTAAAATTTGTTCAACGCAATTTTAGGAAATTATCCTACCTTAGTAGCCATTGGTTCTCTGTCCCTCCCCCATGAGAAAACTTTCTGGATGGTGCAGAAGAGAAAGGAAACTTTCCTTCTCTGAACTTCCTTAGGTTAAAAATTTATCTTAAGATCCAAACCAATGAACAAAGGTTTACTCTCAATTATCCTATTAAAGGGACAGGAAGCAAGATCACAAGCTTCATGGGAGAACAAAGTGCATGCAGTACTTTGATAAACTATGGATCATTTAATTGGCTTTAAACAGAATAAAAGGCATTCAAGACACTTTCTGAAAAATGGAAAGTAGTGTCCTCTCAACTTTAAAATTCTTATTCTGAACCATTGCGTACAATTAATAGAACCTAAAACTTGTGAAATATTTTAACTTCTTAAAAGACAACTTCTTTGCTCTGGTGCACATGGTTGATAGAAGGAAAAGTAAAATCATCAGAATTTGCTGAGGAGACGCAAAAGAGTCCAGCCCTTCAGCCCCCACCCAGCCCAATCCCAGCTTTCCTTCTATGCCTAACTTTAAGCACGGCCTAGCAGTACACACGCATCTGTGTTAACCAAAGTTTGCAAGGGCAAATCTGGTTAGCACTACTGCAAACCTAATGCTAGAGCAAACCATTTCAGAGAAAGGATTTTTTGCAGAGGAAGGAGGAGAAGGTGTCCTCTGGCCACATCAGTTTGCACTTCTGAAGCACTAGCTTAACCCTTGCTGCAATGGGAATATATAACATACATTTAAGTGCCACACAAGTACCTTGACAGCGTTCCATCTGGCTCGATAGGGTCCGGGCTGGCCCAGCTTCTTCTGTTGTCTTCGTTCCTCTCTGTCCTCTTTTTCCTCAAAGGGGTTGGAATGTATGTCGCTGGTTTGGCTTTGCCAGGTAAGAAGCGATTGAATTCTGCAGCAGGCTTGGGCTCAATCAAGGCGACTCGGCGGTGTAACATGTCGTCTTTACGGAGATTGTGCATTCCTGCGTGCATTTCAGAGTCTGTGTCACTTTCACCACCTTTTAATGAAAAGAAAACACAAGAAATCCCCAAGCTGAAATTTCAGCAGCCGGCATTTACGATAATTCCAGCTAGCACTGGCCTGTGGATTCTGAGGGTTTTGTGATGAATGCACAGACATGAAGGTATTTTTAGAAGCTTGCTATGATGCTGCATGAAAATCCAGTTGGGTGAACTTCAGCTTTTATTGTAACACGACATTAATTGCATCATTGCATCATTTTTCTTTTACTTGCACAAGGAAGCCTTAATTTGCAGGCACATGCATCTCCAGGCAAAACGGACAAGGCTAATCTATCACTGGGAATTAATTCCTTCCACTACCAATTATCCACATCTCACCATATACTGTTCCACTGTACCATCCCAAGAACGTGGCAACATTTGATGCAGTAGATCCACTGATTTCAAAATTATGTATGACATGAAGCTGATTCATGCTTTGGAAACTGCACAGTGGTTATAGATGTGTCAGTGCCCAGTAATGTCACAGGGCTAGAGACCCCAAACTTTTTAGACTCTTGAACACATTTGGGAGTTGAGAAAATGCTGAGGGAACCACAAAAAGCATAATTGGTGAATTGCCGCTTTGGCATTCCCATGTCACATCAGTGGATTTTGGGCTTTGTCATATTCTACAAAACCTTTTGTTATACACCATATGGCTTTTAGGACTTTGTCACCTGCATGGTAGTAAATGACGTCTCCACATTTCAGTGCCTGCCTTTTTACAGGGTTCCCCCACCCCACAGATCAAAATATTGCTGTGACATAAAATATCACAAACTCTAACAGTACTGGTCCTTGGGAAGCTTCTATGCCCCATGCAACATTTAAAAAATTCCCATGCTATTTTGAAGAAAGTACAATTGAACTTAGCCTGTTCTGAGTGCCAGGCAGAAGAGCAACTCTTCACCTGAGCAAATGAAAACTAAAATCCATAATTAGGCTGATTATAAATTGAATGGGGAACGATTATTCAGGTGACTTCTGTTAGCTGAAAACTGAAATCCATTGCTATGTGGTTTACAAGCTAATGCGATAGGAATCAGTCAAGCAACAGCCTTCCATGAAGAATATCTGCCACACCAAAGAGAACTGTGTCTCTTTGTAACTGATGCTACAAAATTATGCATGTTTGTTACCAGTTTGTGTTGGTGTTCTGCACCTTTGGTTCAAAACATTGTTCATTGTTTCAGACTGAAACTAAAATGTTTGATGTTTGTAGATTCAGAAATGTTCTTGGTTCGCTGATATGCAAAAAAGAAAAGCTAATGTGTATTTTTAAAAATCTCCTTCACCTCTGTTTTTTTGTGTCTGGGTGATCTGGTATTTTAAACACCTTTTATCAAGATGCAAGAAATAAAAATAGTAACATGAGGCTTTTTGTGACTTGAAACATACCTAGAATTTAGGCTGAGATTGAGAAGATCCCAAATGTGACAGAGTCATATTTTTTAGACTTCTTAAGAGTGTTAAGAATGAATTGTCTAATTCACTTAACTGTTGGTAATGCAAGATAGCTAATCCTTTTTAAAACAGTTTTTTCTGTCATGTTCAGAAGCAAATTTATCTCTCTTTTTTTTAGGTGAATTCTGCTCATTTAGTGATTTATCAGCTTCATGGCATGTAACAAACAGTCAGCATAAATAGATTATAAATATATTTTATGCAAGTGTAATTATATTTGTTGTATTGCCAAATTTGAAACAATGGATGGGAAAACACTAATTTCCTACGATGCAACGGACTGAGGAGCTTGCAACACTTCCAGTATTTGAATAGGTGTCACACAGATGTCATTTTGAAATGGATGCTTGTCTGAATATCTATTCTACTTTTTTGAAGCCTACAATTTATGCTTTGCTACAAATGTATGCAAATTCATGTATGCACATTAAACAAAGAAGAAACTTGTTTTCAAAGTTTTGCAAGAACCCGTGCTGGGAACTTGGTCATAGAGAATATAAATTTTTTCATACTTGTTTGCTTTCTTTGTAATTTATTTTAAAATGGACTGCAAAGTTGCATTACATAAAAATGCATATAATTTCACACTAGAAAAGATGCTTTTATCTTCACATGTGCTAAACAAAATGAATGTCATCTCAATGAAAAATAGCCACTACATATGATCCGTTTAACAAAATCCTTTCCACTTTATTTTGCTGGTGGTAACTTTTGATTGTACTGTCACCAATGAGATTGAAAGTTTTATAATATTCAATCAGTCTGATCCATCAGGGACTTGTAAACACATTTAAGATATAAGATGCTAGCAGGATGAAGTCAGAAGTCAATGCAGGCCAGTGTTATTACACAACAGTGTCCAGATGTTGCTAGAAACCCCACATGGGCATGAAAGCAAGAACCTTCCCTCCTGGTCACCTTGCAACAGAAATTCAGATACGTGCATCTGCTAAACATGGAACTCCCATTTAGCTAGGGTGGCTCCTGGCTGTGGGTCAACAAAAACGAACGAAAGGTGCTTTTTGTGTTGTTGTCAGGGGTTATGCATATTTAGACAGAAAACCCAAACTTCAACTCTCAGCATGCCTCAGCCACATACACAGCATTGAGCCAAATCTTCTGAAAATATCAGGGTTTTCTTCTTCTTCCTTTTTTGCTATTGAGCATTCATAGGCAGTTGGTCAACTGAAACTGTATTTGCACTGCAAGTTGAGGAACACCGCTCACTCCCTTTTACACAAACCAGACTTGAGTCAAAAACACACACGTACGGCCAGATCAAATATGCCAGACCAGTTGAGGTCCACATTTTCATTCTGTCCAAACAGTTTTAAAGATATTTTTACAGATTTCAATATCCTGTATCCTTTTACAGATTTCAATTTCAGCTGCCTGTGCCAGACTTCTATTTGTTTCTGGTGGTGGTGGTGGCGGTGGCTGAACAGTAAGATGCCTGTGCCTCATTCGTGTTGAAGAAATGAATGTGTAACTGAGCTCTGTCACTTTTGAGACAGCAGGTAAGGGGCTAACATGAAGAAATGCTGGCTATTAAAAATGCTCCCTGTATATCCCAGGACATAAGTGTCACCTGTGTGGCTGAAGTCACAGGCTTGCTCTCTTGGTGCAAATTCCATCCTGCAAGGCAAGCTTCCTGTGAGCATCGGACATGAACTAGGCGAAATCAGTGCGCTTAAGGTGCTTCATCAGGGCTGGTTTGGATAAACCAGAGGAATGGAGGAGAAAGCAGCAAGCAGCATTGGTAGTTTTGATTTGTTTGCCTACCATTTTCTTCTTCGTGGGGTGGAGTTCAGTGAACAACCTTACCGTCATTACCAACTGACTACTTTAAACACCTCTGTGCTGTGTGCATGAAGAACAGGAAGGTTCTTATGGTTCTACCTGCAGGTTTTACTCAACAACCTAAGAGATCTTCCCAAACTTCATCTCCTTTGGGTGTTGCTGCATCTTCAGATCAGGCTGGCCCATCAGCCTTTAAATCAAGAAGGAACACCAGTGTTTCTACAGACGTACTTCCATTTGTGGCTTTTTCATCACCTCCAAGATGACTTTCCCTGATGTCAAGCATCAGAGTATCATCCTCCCTTCCCCGGGCTCAGTGTAAGGTTTTCCATTTTCCCTTAGCTTCTCCTCAACTATCTTCATTTCTTTCCTTCCAGTTTCTGCATCTTCTTTTTCTTCTTAATCCACCAACTCCTGGTATCCTCCCATCTCTCAGTTTCTTGGCTCTGGATCATCTTCTCATGGAGTGACCTAGAAGCTGGACACCATGCTGTTCCTCTCCCCTCATGCTGGGAGTATCTCATTCTTGCTCAGTCGAATGGACCTACGTCATCCACTGAAGCACTACTGTTTGTTCAATTGCTGAAGCCGGTCGATAGATATCTCAGCACCATGGCTGAGATATCAGCCCATAGTGGCACTTCAAACCCATTATTTAAACCCATTCCCCAGAGAGGTCCGCCTGGTGCCATCGTTATTTGTTTTTCAGCGCCAGGCGAAGACCTTTTTATTTAAGCGGCATTTTAATTGTTAATATTATTGGATTTTATCTGGCCAGGGCAGTTTATTTTATATTGGTATTTTTGTATTTTTAACTTAATGTTTATATATATTTTTTTAATTTAATGTTATAATTATTTTTTAACTTATTGTTGTAAGCCGCCCCGAGGCTTCGGCGAATGGGGCGGCATAAAAATGTTTTAATAAATAAATAAATAAATATGTTGATGGTACAATCTTTCCCTTTTGGTGCCATTCATCTATTTCTACACCATATTTCTCTTGAATTGGTCTCTGCCATGTAAACCATACTGAAAACAGAGACAGACCCATTACCATTTCCACCATGTGCAGAGGTTTAGAGAAGGGGGCTGAGATAGAGGTTTGTGAATAGGCTGAAATCGGCCAAGCTGGAGACAGAGTACTTGCAAAGTCATAGTTCACGTTCTTAACCACTGCGCTCAAAAGGACAAGAGGAAGTACATGACTAATAGGTAAGTGGCTAAGTGCCGGGTGTACAGTCATTTTCACAATCACGGGAGTTTTGCTTAACAGCTAGAAAGTACTTGGAACTGTGATTTACTGCCTGATTTTCCAACAGAAAAGCTTGTGGCTTGAGAAAAATAATAGGAAAGTCAAAAGACAGCACCCAGTTGTTCCAGATTCGTGTCTCCCAGACAGCAAAACAAAAGAGCTAATTAGTCTTCTAAGAATATACCTTCACTTCCACCTTTCAAGGTGATGTCTGATGAAAAGCTTGCAGAAGACCTTGAACCAAAGGAGTCCAAGCTATCAAAGGAATCGTCTCTCTTATGACTGGTGGATGATGAAAGGGGATCTGTACGCTCAAGATACCAAATATCACCGTACCCACTGTCCCTCCCACTCCGCTTGGGACTGCAAGATTCTCCGAGAGCCTGCAGGGACAAGTTGTAAAAGAGCTTTTAGACCTTCATTCAAAGTATTTCATTTAATTATTTCATTCTGCAACATGTTTTACATCATGCTGGCATTAATTTTGTTTTCTGAAGTGATCCTCACACTTCTGGAAGATGCACTTAAGTACTTTAGGATAGAAATTAAGCACAAAGGCAATTTCTGCTTCAAAATCTCAAAGTGCATGTGAGAAAATATAAAATATCTCATAGCGATGTGGTAAAATATATGAGCTTGCAGTGAACAAAGCTTTAGCCTAGGGAATGGCAGCATCACATGCTAAGATCACATCTAGTTCTCCAGGGATGACCTATCCTCTCTCTCGGCAATGGCAACTCTTGGCTGTTGGAATGGGCCAGTTCACACAACATGCTAAGCCATAGGAAACCGGCCAGGCCTCCTCCTTCCCCTTCTTGCCCCTCACCACATACCCCAGTTGCTTTTGGCTCCTCATTGCTGCCTCCACCTGTTCTCACCGCTACCCATTTTCATTCTGCGGCTTTTTTCTGGTGCCTCAAAAATGCCCACGTGGGTCGTAAAGTTTTTCGCTATTTCTTAGTCTTTCACAGGTGTGCACCTACCAAGATAGCTATAGCTGAGGGGCAGAGCACCTGCACTGCAGGAAGGAGGCCCCAGTCCAAATTCCCAACCAGAGCAGCTTCCTCTGCAACTTTGGCCTCTTGTAGCCTCTGCCTGGCAACACGGCCCCTCTTCCCCAGCAGACTAAGACCAAGACAAAGGCTAACTAAAGCACCTTGTTAGGTGAAAACCAACCAGCTGTGCTGGCTATGTGGTTCTCAGTACGCTCACTAGACTTTCCCACAGAATTTGAGACTGTCTGATTCTCAGCAGCTGTGTAGTTTTTCTCTCAGTTCACAGGCCCCAGCCTTTCTGCTAACTCACTTCTCTTTGCCTGAGGCAGAATCAGTTTCCACAACTCTTGAAGGCACTTTGCCAGGAAAAGTAGTTCTGATCCGTACAATGTGATCCTCTTTATGCATTGGAATTTGGTGTCCTCCATCTCCTCAACACCCCCCAAAATCTCCAGCTATTCCAGAGGAGAAAATATTTACCACACTTCAGCAGATTGCTTACTAAAAAAAACTGGGGAGGGGTTGAATGGATGGAACGAACAGGGGTGCTCCCTGGTTGCCCACCCTTAATTTAACCTGTCAGGAATATTTGTCAAAATGACAGGGCTGCAAAGTAAATGGGGGGAAATTTCCACATTTAATATTTGCTAAATGTACCTTTCCTTCCACAAATGCCTTACCTTTGTCAATGCTTGTCCTAACAGTTTCTCAAAGGCTTTTAAATTAAGCTGTGGGCCATTATAGTAAGAGCTGCTGTGCGCCTTCCTGCCCAGCCAATATAATGTAATCAAAACCTAAAAGACAGAATCAAAAAGAAGATACTTATGAATTAGACCAGAAGGATGTCCACGTACCGCATTCTGACTGCTTCAGAAGGAACCCCCAAACTGCCCATAGAAGCGCCTACGTTATAACAGTTCCACTATCCTTGCTACTGGATAAAAGATTTCTCCTCCTCGTTGCACTGCCCCCTACTTGAACTTCCTAATCAAAGGCCTTTTTCCAACTGATGACCAAACTTAGCACTTCCTGGTCACTCCATGACCATTCATCCCATGGTCTTTTGTCAGCATTAATCCATATTGTCTGTAGCATAGCCTATCAGTGCTGGGCCAGTCACAGGATCTCAGCCCAACCTACCTCACAGGGTTGTTGTTGTGGGGATAAGATGGAGGAGGAGATGTAAGCTGCCTTGAGCCCTTTGTAGGAAAAAGGCAGGATATAAATCGAAAAATAAATAAAATAAATAAAAAATACTGTTTTAAGATCCTCTCCCACGCATGCGCACAGTTATAAGAAGGCATCATCTACTGCAATATTTTTGACCCTGAAAATATGCAGAAAGGGCCTACAGAAAAAGGTCTATGGTAGAGTGAATGGGGTTTCCATGCACAGCAGGCTCTCTTACGTCCTCCGGTCACTTTTCCATCCAGAAAGAGGTTTTAGGGAAATACAGTTTAGTGGGGGAAAGCAGAAATGGATTGAGAGTGCTTAACCTTACTGTAGCTTTCCTCCCCTCCACTTGTCGCAAGCATATAAGAAGGATGGCTGGGAAAGGAGGCAACGCGTGAGGGTTAAACAAAAGAAGTAAGATGAACAGTGAAGATCTTCGCCTTACATTTTTTACTCTTCTGTTGGTCTCCTCTTGCCTGTAAAACACCCCCCCCACACACAAACAAACAAAAGTTAGGCATAACTTAATTTTTTAGACTCAGAAACACCAAGCCATCATTAAATAGCAAATTGGACTGCTTAAGTCAATTAAAGCTGGAAGCATAATTCACATATACACATAAGCTACAGGATCTAAAATATGGAAATCTCGCTGCCTTGGTCATTATCACATTCCAAATTTTTAGGTCCACTGAATGCATATGAAAAGAGAGAGGAACTATGTCCACATAAAAGGAAGTCACATTAATTAAGCTTTGATATTTTCAGTTTCAGTTCCTCAAGAACAGAAGAGATGAAAATATATTGCATTAAATCTTCGTAACAACCCCGTGAGGTAATTTGGGCGGTGCCTGCTCCAAAGTCAACTAGTGAGCCTCATGACTGAGTGGGAACTAGAACTCAGAGCACCAGAATCCAATCCAACACTTCTAACCATTATACCACACTGGCTAGAAAGTTTCACCTTTAAAAAAAAAGTGGATGGCCTTCATCTGAAAGTGAATCACTTGGAAAATTGAAAGCATCTAGCAAGAACTCACATTGCACAGGAAAAAAAATCACATAGTCCTTTTGAAAATACTAGTACTACTAATACAATTCTACTGATGCTAATAGAATGTTGATAACGAAAAGGGAAAGACCGTGCTTGGTAAGTTCACTTGGTAAGTTAGTGGAGCACAGTGACAAGATCTCAAAACCTTTTCTTCCTACATTATGGGCTGCTTAATTTATGGACACTTGAGGGCTGGAGGGCGGCTGATTCATCAGCTGCATCCCTACCTGGAGTACGACTGCCTGGCGACAGTGACACACGCACTGGTGACTTCCCACCTTGACTTCTGTAACGCGCTCTACGTGGGGCTACCCTTGAAGATGGTCCGGATACTTCAATTGGTTCAAAATAGAGCTGCCAGGCTGCTGACGGGGACTGGGCATTATGTTCACATTACTCCAGTCCTCCTTCAGCTTCACTGGCTTCCCATTGAAGTCTCGGCCCAATTCAAGGTGTTGGTAATGACCTATAAAGCCCTTAACGGCTTGGGTCCTGGCTACCTGAAGGAGCGCTTACGTCCATATATGCCCACCCGCCCCTTGAGATCTGCGGGAGAGGCCCTTCTCCGGGAACCCTCCGTGAAAGAAATTAGGAGGGTGGGTACTCGGAGGAGGGCTTTCTCTGCGGTGGCGCCCAATCTATGGAATGCGCTTCCCAGAGAGGTCCGCCTGGCGCCGTTGTTATTTGTTTTTTGGCGCCAGGCGAAGACCTTTTTATTTAAGCGTCATTTTAATTGTTAATATTATTTGATTTTATCTGGCCAGGGCGACTTATTTTATATTGTTATTTTTTTGTATTTTAACTTAATGTTTGTATTTTACAAACATTTTAACTTAATGTTATGTTAAGTTAATATTTTAACTTAATGTTTGTATTTTAACTTAATGTTGTGAGCTGCCCCGAGGCTTCGGCGAATGGAGTGGCATAGAAATGTTTTAATAAATAAATAAATAAATAAATAAATAAATAGCCCAACTCAGATAAACATCCTCAAAACACAGACCTCTTCTTGGTGGGTGGCTCCAGTCCATTATATTGGCGAGCACTCCCTGTCCTGAAGTTGGAGTGTTCTTGTGACTATTACAGGCTGGGGCACAGGGAGGCTATTATTACAAGGAGGCTATTTTGGGTACAAACCTCACAGGCTCCCAACCCCGAATGCCCAGGAAATTAGAGGAATATGTTCCTGTGTCATTTGCAAGAAGGAGATGCACTGATTCCCAGGCCATGGGACAGGGAAGTGTTACGAAGTATCAGGCAGATCTCAGTTGTTCCTATGAAACAGTGAACGGAGGGAAGCTGCATAATGCATGTTGAACTAGGCTTCCCTGAGCATATCCATGCTTCATACATAGCAGGTGTACTGGAACATGTGCTCCTTTTCCAATATCTGTTTATTTGAAGAACAAGTTGATGATAGGAACCAAGTCTGCACAGATACGCGCAAAAGAATACGCCCAGGGCCAGTCTTGAAGGCAGAAGTACCACTCCCTCAGATCGGGTGTCCAAGAGTACCTGCTCATCCACTAGCTGCAAACTTCACATTTATCTGCCCTTCGTGGTTATCTTGTAACCGTCAGACAAAATTCCAGCCTCGACTCAAGGCCAGCAGCAAGCCGTAAACAAAGAAAATTAAAGCTCATCTAAGTAACAGTGTTCCATTTTCTAGCAGACATTTTGCTGTTAGCTATTCAGAAGTCAAAATGAATGGGGCATTTCCAGAACGTGCATGATCATAAGAACAGGTGGTGCAGTGCCCTTTATATCCAAGCTGGTGCCTTCCAGTGGCTTTGGCCCAATTCCTATCAGCCCCAGCCAGCATAGCCCATGGCCAGGAAATGTGACAGCTGTTGTCTAAAACATCTGGAAGCTTGCCTTAGAGGTTTAGCCTCGGGCCACGTGAATACCAGAGCAGGATACGAGGGACCATGGGGAGCGTGTCGCCCAAGTTCAGAGGGTGCAACGGCAGAGGTGCTGAAGCCTCCAAACTCCCGAGGGTTTAAACATTCAGTGGTACCCCTCAGCACCCTGAATTTTCCCTAGACAGCTACTGACAGCCTCGGGGGGACTGCAAGTACCGTCTTTCCCACGCAGACTGCAAGCAGGTGGATCCCAGCCTTCTGGGTCCCAGCTCCAACACTGCAGGGTAGCATAGTTGGAATTTCAAAGGCTCCTATAGCCGTCCAGACAATGTGGGATCCCACAGGATTGTGCCCTAAGCGATTCTATTAAAATCCAGACAGAGAGCTCATGCAATGGCCTTGCCTAGCACTGTCTCTTTCCACACAGCTTCTGAAGGTCACCAGTCTTCCCAGAGAAATTTCTGCAAACTTTCTGACAATGGACTATTTCAAATTGAAATCACCTCTTGCCCTACGGAGCTTGCCTCACACAGCTTTGTTCTGTATTGTTGGACTCAAGTGTGAGGACTGCAAGAACCAACTTTTGCTTAATCAGTGCCACACTAAAGGAAATTAAAAAGCTTACACAATTTAGTATCTCAGCCAATACAAATACTTTCTACTGTATTTACATTCGGCACAGCACAAAACATTCTTTTGTTTGCTCTGAACTCACTCGCACGACGACGTGTGGCCTGGTTAATATGGAATTCACGTTGGCCAGTTTTGTCAAGGAGGACGGCATTTCTAGACTTTAAGCCCCCAAGTCCATCCATCCATGTTGTGACTACAGTAAAAGCCCATTATTTTGACACATCAACTTAAACCATTAATATACGGCATTAAGAACACAGGCATTCCTCTCCCTTAACCACCTAAATAAGGAAATTTAAATCGTGCTAGCCTTGTGGCTTTGGCACTTAAGCACTTTTGTGGAGACGACAGGAAAGAAACACAAAACTAAGCTGAGTTTCCCCATAACGTGCTCTCTTTTTTCAGCTCTTGCAGAAACATGCTGGATATTTCCTCTTGGCTTTGTCTTCAGCCCTTTGTTGTCAGAGGTGTTTCTGAAACTAAAGTCAGCACTAGTTGCATTTTTTTCAGGTGCACATAATTCACCAGAAATTATGAATAAGCCTTGTCCATAGTGGTTTCTATTTGCTACAGGCAGATTCTTGATCACATGAAAACTGTCTCTGCCCGCCCAGAAGCCAAGGTAGCTCCACTCTTTGATGTGCCATGGATGAATTTCAAGTGTCCTTTTTGCAACTTACTAGGCTGAGTCCAGACGGAATGGAAGCTTGGACTGCCCACTGCTCCAATGACCAATCTGCATGCTAAGCCCTCCCTGTTCCCCCACCCTTCTGTGTCCTTGCAGGACTGTCCAAGATCAGCCACCCACAGCATCCCCACCCTTGAACAGCTGCACATTCCTCCCCACCACCCTCCCACCTGCTGACTCTCAAGTTGATCCCCGGAGACATGCCCAGAAAATCAGCTGGGATGGTAGAATGCTGGCGCACCTTTCCATTTTTCACCCATGTTACTAAAGGCCTCTTGGCAGCGATGTTAGATCAGGAAAGTCAAAGAGGGAAAGTTCAATCCTACGTGTTACTGGTTGGCCTGCAGCGGCCCACTTAGCCAGACCATCCCAGATCCATCTCGCCCAGGTCCAAGGGAAAGAAACCACTCTCTTGCCATCAGCTTCCGGGGTCTGCTGATGTCAACTCAAGGCCAAGTATCTCTACTTAGCAAACCTGCTGAACAGTAACCTGGGTAAGTGGCCAAACAATGGGGAGTTTCCTAGAACCCACCTCAGAGTTGTGAATTGCCATTACCTGACATTAAGCAGATAAAAAACAAGAGATCCTCCTAGAACCTCCACCGAGTTAAGGGGAGAGGGACTGAGGGAGAAAAGGAAGCTGAGAGACACCAGGAGAACATCACCACAGAAGTTGTGGACCTTCAGAAAACCAAGATGGAAACTTGTGCAGGGCTGCAGCACTAACTCAACTACAGTATTTTGTCATTTCCCACTGAATTGCCACTTTAAATCACTTCTGGCTTTGAGCTCTGAAGCTGCGGACCCCTTTCCCATACTGAACTTGTTCCTAAATCCCTAAGAAATACTTTTCTCCACCTACCCAGACTGTCTGCTTTGTGGGGCAAAAGGAAGGGTCACAAAGGGGTGTGCCACATTACCAGTGACGCTTACACTAAATTGATAACCAGGTTGCACGCAACCTACCAATCCAAACCTGAAACCTAGCTGTGCTCCCCTAAGGACACAGGGGCCCACAGAGAAAAACCCAACACAAGAGACTCTAGTGGAATCCCTGGCTGGTCAGCTCCCCGCTGTGTCAGCATTTTATCTCCCTGTCCTCTTTCCCTTGATAAAGCAGTTAAAGAAACTGTCCGTGGAGCCACTCCTGCGTGACAACATGACAAGAGGGACGCCAAGACCTCAAAGGCATTCAGCTCTCCTGACCTGACTGGTTACATATGCATTGTAGTTACACCC